CGTCAGCAGCACCTGCATTCCACCCCAGCAGATAAAGAGGGCAAACGCCTGGACCTTCTGGGCTGCAATGTTGTTTTTTCCTCTGCCAGTCTCCAGTTTCGTATTTCAAATTAGTTGGTTCTGTTTGTGAAATATGACTTCCTTACCTACAGCAAGCTAATGGATTTCACAGACAAACTGCCCCAGCGGGATCAAGCCCGATTCCAGACTACCCTAGAGGAAGGGAAGCTGGTTGCGAGGACAATGCTGCAGGCTACAGTGGATGCAGCAGACACTTCTTCGCGCACAATGGCTATGGGGATTGTCATCTGAAGAGAGTCCTGGATACATTTGTCCAGTTTTCTGAGGGAGTTCCAGATCACCACTGAGGGCCTTCCTTTGGATGAGTCTCATCTCTTCAATCAAGAAGACTGTTGACTCCCTTCACTCCCTCAAAGGCTCTAGAGCCACTCTCCAATTGCTGGGGATTGACACACTGGCGCCCAAGTGCAAGTTCTACTGACTACCCCCGACTCAGCGATTCAGAACTCCCGAATTCTTCCAACAGCAGTCCTGTGAGCCTCCTTGCAAATGGTAGAGGACCCAGTGACCCCGTCCCTCAGGTTCATCATCGTCACAACCTTCTGCATCTCGTGACCAATCTTCACAGAATTGTTATTTCTGAGTACACTTTGAGAGCCGCTAACCATCATGCTTTATACCATGCACCTGAACCACCCCCTTTGGAGGGTGCCTAGCGCTCTTCTTAGCAACTTGGAGTGCGATAACAACAGACAAGTAGGTCCTGGATGTTATTCGACATGGCTATATGATCGAGTTCAAAACACTACCTCACCCACATCCCCGCCCCGACCCCACTTCGGGGATCACTCTCACGACAGTATCCTTGCCCTAGAAGTGGACTCCTTGGTGCAAAGGGGGGCGATAGAACCTGTTCCCTCAACCTGTCAGGGAGCGAGGTTCTGTTCCACCTACTTCCTAGTCCCCAAGGAGAAGGGTGGGTGGCAACAGATCCTCTACCTCTGCTGTCTCAACTGCTTTATACGAAAGCCAACGTTATTTGTATGTTCACCCTGGCAGCCGTCATTCCTTCCTTAGAAAGAGGCATGTGGTTTACAGCTCTCGATATGCAGGATGCTTACTTTCATGTGGATATCCATCCTATCCACAGATACTTCCTGAGATTCATGGCAGTTCGTCGTCACTTCCAGTACAGACTCACCACTGCTCCACGAGTCTTCCCTAAAGTCGTCTCGGTAGTGGCAGCCCACCTCTGGCGTCAAGGTGTCCTTATATTCCCTTATCTTGACGACTGGCTGCTGGTGGCCCGATCAAGAAAGGAAGCTCGAGCATCGACCTCTATGCTGCTCACACTCCTCTCCTCACTGGGGGTCAGCATAAATGTCGAAAAATTTACTTTGGATCCCACTAAATCCCTAGAATTCACTGGGGGCACGGATCAACACGATCTCAGCTCATGCCTACCTCCAGAGGACAGGTTCCAGACCCTGCAGGAGCTAATTTACAGGGTGCTATCCAGTCTTTCTGTCCCAGTCAGGACCTGCTTTTCTCTTCTTGACCACGTGGCGGCTTGCATTTACATGACTGCCTTCGCTTTTGCTGCCTACAACTGTGGCTCCATAGGGTCTGCTTTCCCATGCAACACTCTATGGACTTTCTACTCACTGTTTCCCATGAGGTTCTTTCCTCTCCTCCCTCCACTGGTGTATGGATCTGAGTCAGGTTTGTATTGGGATACCATTCCTTCTGTCTTCCCCTCCCACCACAGTTATCACAGACGCATCATCTGCTACAGATGCCTTGTTCAGAGTGGCCCACATGGATGAGCATATGACTCAGGAGACATGGACTGCTCGAGAGGCCCGGATGCACATCAACATCCTGGAACTTCATGGTTTTCCAGAGAGAGCGAGAGAGTGTTTCTCCCAGCCATTCCTGTCACATCCTCAACATGTCAGGCAACACCACCATCTGCTACATCAACAAGCAAGGGGGCTTGGGATTGGTGCATTGCCCACAAGATCCTGTTGTCGGCAGCATATCTTCCCAGCACTCAAAACATGATTGCGGACTCTCTCTCAGCAGGAAATTTGTGACTGACCATGAGTGGGAGCTTCATGGTGCTGTGGTCACCAGCATTTTCAACTGCTGGGTGACTCCTACCAGGGACCTCTTCACCTCCCAAACCAACAGCAAACGCAGCCAGTACTGCTTCAGGGGAGGGCTTGGTGCCCTTTTCCAGGGTGATACCCTACTCCTCTGCTGGTTGGATCAGTTCAATTACTCCTTTCCCCCTCTGTCGCTTCTGCTATGAGTCCTGCACGAGGTCAAGTGGGAGAGTGAGATGTTCTTTTCCGATAGCCCCATTCTGGCCTCGCCAGTTCTGGTTTTCCCCTTCTCTGAATGTCAGCGCACTCCCCGCTTTCACTGCCACCTCTCCCAGATGATGGAACCATGGAACAGAGAACAGCCACACTGAACAAGGCATCCGTAGCAGTCTTGCACAAAGGCATAATGGGAAGAGAAGGTATGTACTGAGCTCCATGTGACTGCCTTACATATGTCTGTAAGAGCACGTCGTGAAGCACAGCTGTAGTTGGTTTGTGCTCTCATGGAGCAGGCCCATATCCCACAGGGCAGAGACATCCCTGATAACTGGTAGCAGAGCATAATGCACCCTGACACCTACTTCGAAATCCTCTGAGTAGAAATCACTTGCCCCTTAATGTGTTCAGCTATAGCGACAGTTTGGGGGACTTCCTGAAGGGTTTCATCCACTGCAGGTAGAAGGCCAGGGCCCTGCAGATGTCAAGGGAGTAAAGGCGCCTTTCCTCCACTGAGGTGTGAGGCTTTTGAAAGAAAGAAGCTAAGTGTATAGGTTGGTTGAGATGAAAACTAGAGAACCTTAGGAAGACACTTGGGGTGCAAGTGTAGGGAAACTTTGTCTTTATGAAATGTAGTAAATGGGTGGGGTGTCGGCCATCATGGCCCCCAGTTCGCTAAGCCATCTCGCGAATGTGATACCAACCAGGAAGGCGACCTTCATGGAGAGGAGAGAAAGAGAGCACAAGGCCACAGGTTCAAAGGGTGACTTCTTCAGCGTCTTCAGGACAAGGCTGAGGTCTGCTTGGGGAGCGATGGGCTGAATAGGAGGGAAGCTTCAAAGGAGGCCCTTCCAAAACCTGGAAGTTAATGGGTGAGTAAAGAAAAAATGCCCCTCCAGCAGAGGGTGGAAGGCACTGAGAGCAGCCATGTGGACTTTGACGGAGTTGAGAGGCGAGGCCAGACATCTTTAGGGAGAGGAGGAAGTCTAGAAGAGGAATGTCCACTTCCTCAGGGACAAGACCCTTCTGCTGGACCCAAGAGATGAAATGCTTCTATTTAGTCTCATAGGATCGCTTTGTGGACTCCTTTCTGCTACTCGAGAGGATGTTCTGCACTGCTAACAAACATTCCCACTCTAATGAAGATGCCCATCCAAAACCCAAGCCCAGAGGTGAAGAGTCTGGGGATCAGGGATGCTGAATCCTTCCACCTTATTGTGTGAGTAGCTCTGGGAGAGGTGGCATTGAAAGTGGGGAGCGCGCTGACATGCAGAGAAGAAGGGGAAACCAGAACTGGCGAGGCCAGAATGGGGCTATCAGAAATGACCGTTGCTCTCTCCCACTTCACCTCGTGCAGGACTCATAGCAGAAGTGACAGAGGGGGAAACCTATGAACTGATCCAACCAGCGGAGGACTAGGGTATCACCCTGGAAAAGGGCACCAAGCCCTCCCCTGAAGCAGTACTAGGTGGATTTGCTGTTGGTTTGGGAAGTGAAGAGGTCCCTGGTAGGAGTCCCCCAGCTGACAACAGGATCTTGTGGGCAATGCACCAATCCCAGTAGCGAATTGCTTCTGTGCAGAGTGCAGGAGACCTCATGCCCCCTTGCTTGTTGATGTAGCAGATGGTGGTGATTTTAACGTTTGAATTATTTTTAGCCAATGTCCTTTAGAATGCTGGATTTTCCATAAATTAACTTAGCAGTTATAATAAACTGTTAAGACTGACTATATAGAAAGCGTTTGTTTGTTTTAGAACATTGTGGATTTTCAGTTTGGGATATTTCAGTTTATTAAAATAAAGCTTCTTCACATTAATACCACCTGTTGTAATTTCTTATACTTACATGAAGTATGCTTTTTTTTTTTCTCTTTTTTTCTCCATGTACCAATAGCAATGAGTTCCTTGTACCAGATTGTAAGAGCAAATCTTTGTGGGAGAGGGGAGCATGTGATTTAAACTAATAAAATGTTGTGAGACCAGTTTAAAATATATAAAACATTGGGGTAGCCAGTTAGGAAGGTGACATATAGACACATCTTCTGCATGCAGGGAAGTTAAACCCACTCTGCATCAGGCCTGAAGTATTTTATTCACCCTCGGGCTGAAAAGAGATATGTGTATACAGGCAAAAGAAGATAGTGTTTGGCAACACGTTTGGTTTTTTTATAACCTTGGAATGCTCCTTTTTTATATCAGACTCATTGACTGACTTTTCAGTGGGGTGTTTGACCCCAGTCCACAAAAGCAGGCTCACTATCAGAGAGCAAGAACAGTCCTCAAGGTCAACCATCAGGTATGGAGGAGGACTTGTGTATTTGCAACCCAGTTCTGTCCAGTGACAGTGAGCATTTTATGAGGCAGCAACTGTTCAAAAAATCCATGGGACATTGGAGAGCATCATGACCAAAAAAAGACTTTCAGTATCTTCATATCTACTGAACCTTTAATTTAATACAGATATGGCCTGTTCCTATGCAAACTTGCTGCATTTGAGGCATGTCATTGATAAGTATTTGGGTGATAACAGGTCTCTCATCCTTTATATCATTAAATAAGTAGAAGGAATAAACATTAAATGTAACAAGAAGGTTGCATTGTGGTGATGGGATTATTTTAAAGAGGAAACTATAAGCCTGTTTCTCCTCCTCCACAGGTGATGATATTTCCCTGGGAGATGCTGATGACATTTTGAAGCAGTTTCCATATAAAGGTGGCAGAAGGCCCACCTCTGTTGACACAGTAGCAACAGACCCCTGGCTGCGACCTGGAACATCAGAGACCCTGAAAAGATTTATGGCTGGGCAGTCAAACCAGGCTAAACTTTCTTCTGAAAACACATTACCCTTTGGTTGGCAGGGACTGTCAACTGCACATGGTTAAATAAATCTATATTGAAACCAGCTGTGCCTTTAATCATAGAAGGAATGTTAATCACAACTGCACTTTTAACATGTTCATTTTATGTTCTCTTGTAAGAATAGTTTTGTATGTAAATATTGTGAGCTATATGTATAGGTTTTTTTTAATGAAATGTTAAAGAAGCAGAAGCTGTAATGTAAATGATTTCTTTAAAAGGGAAAACAGACTGTGTACAGGATGTTTATTATACCAAGGTAGGGAAGTGGAGGTTTTTTGCACTCTTTCTGTAAGTTACACTGGTCAGTATGGTACTGATATTTCCAGTCTTAGGTTTGAAGCTTGTGTGAATGTAGTATTAGATAAAAGAGAACTTTTAACATTAAAAACTAAGAATCTAGAATGATTCTGCCAACATCATAGCATAAACAACAAAGCTTATATTCCTTTTACTCAAGTACTTCATGTGATTTTTTTTTTTTTACCTCAATGCAGCAGTAGCTATTTAAAAACAGTGATAAGGGGTTGTTGTTATAGCCTGTATTTGTCCAGTATTCAAGAGTTACTGAATCACTATTATGGGATCTACATGGACAAAAGATTTATGTAAACAATTGGCCATTGCTGTTCCACTTACTAACATTTTGCTTTCTTTTCCCAATCAATTGTGTGCTAAAATTCTAATTATACATTTCTGCTTCTTACTGTTTGTGTTGATAATGCAGATATTGTTGAGTGAGAATTGTTAATATTTAATTTATGGTCATGATTTAAATCAATTGATGAAAATAAATTATATTTTATTACCAAAATTTAAAGTTTTCTCCACCTTTTTTGGAAATGAGGGCGAGAAGGCTTAGCTTCTATAGGTACACTAGCTTCTGTCTATGGCATAAAGGGGGGTCCAAGGACTAGAAAAGGTTACTAACCTTTTTGTAACTGTTGTTCTTCAAGATGTGTTGCTCATGTCCATTCCACATTAAGTGTGCATGCATTGCATACACATCCGCCGCAGATTTTTCCCTGAGCAGTATCCGTCGGGCTGGCTCTAGCACCCTCTGGAGATATGCACTCATGCACTGAGGGGCCCAGCCAGTTCCATACCCTCTCGGTTCCTTCTTTCTGGCTAACTCCAACAGAGGGGCAGAAGGGTGGGTCATGGAATGGGCATGAGCAGCACATCTCGAAGAACATCAGTTACAGAAGCTTTTTCTTCTTTGAGTGCTTGGCCATTCCACATTAGGTGACGCACAAGCAATACCTTAGGAGGCGGGCTCAGTTCATGGACATGCGGATTGCAACACTGCTCTACCAAACCCCTTATCGTCTCTAGCCTGCTGAGTGATGGTGTAGTGGGATGAAAAAGTATGCGCTGACAACCAGGTTGCTGCTCTGCAAATATCCTGGATTGGGACTTGGGCCAGAAACGCTGCTGAGAAAATTTGAGCTCTTGTCAAGTGGGTGGTCAAGAGGGCAGGAGGTGGGGCAGCTGCCTGCTCATAGCACATGCGAATGTAGGAAGTGATCCAGCATGAAATCCTTTGGGCTGAAACTGGCACACCTTTTATTCTGTCTGCTATTACCACAAAGCGCTGCATGGACTTGCGGAACAGTTTGGCCCTTTCTATATAGACTGGGCACGCCTAACGTACAACATGTGGAGACGCTGCTCCTCCATATTCTTGTGTTGTTTCAGAAAGAATATTAGCAGGAAGATAGCCTGATTACTACGAAACTGTAAAACCACCTTCAGGAGGATCATGGGGCAGGCGCGAAGTTGAACCTTGTCCTTCAAGAACACAGTATACTGGATTTCTGACATAAGGGACCTGATATGAGATCCTCCTGGCTGAGGTAATTGCTACTAGGAAAGCAACCTTCTAGGAGAAGTACGACAAGGGGCACAATGCCAGCGGCTCAAAGGGAGGGCCTGTAAGTCTTGAAAGGACCAGGTTTAGATTTCACAAGGGAATTGGTTCACAAATCTGTGGGTATAGTGTCTCTAAGCCCCTGAGGAAGCGAATGGATATTGCGTGAGGAAAAAAACTACCTACCATCCACTGGAGGGTGGAAGGCTGAGATGGCCACTAGGTGTACCTTAATAGACAAATTGGGTACGCCCCAATGTTTCAGATGAAGCAGATACTCCAGCCCAGACTGGAGAGGTGTCCTAGCAGGTGAGAGGCCTCGTTGGGATGACCACACAGAGAAACACTTCCACTTTGCAAGGTAAGTCACTCTAGTAGATGGTTTCCTACTACTTGTAATACCTGGAGGACTTGCTCCGAATAGGCCAGTTCTGCTGGGTTTAACCATGAAACTTCCATGCGGTCAGGTGGAGGGCCTTGAGGTTTGGGTGGAGCAGTTGGCTGTGATCTTGTGAGATCAGGTCTGGGAGAGGTGGGGAGGGAGTGGCATCGGGGTCCATTACTGACAGCTCCCCATAATGTGTTGAACCAGTGCTGGCATGGCTATGTTGGGGCTATAAGAATAACCTTTGCTCTGTCCCGCTTGACTTTGAGTAAGATTTTGTGCATGAAAGGAATGGAGGGAAATGCATAGAACAGGTGCTTTGTCCAAGGGAGCAGGACAGCATGTGTGAGCGAGCCTGAGCTGTGCCCACATTGAGAGCAAAACTACTGATGCTTTCTATTTTGCTTGGTTGCAAACAGGTCTACAAGGGGAGTCCCCCACCACTGGAAGATGGCCTTGGCTATATCGGGGTGAAGGGACCACTCATGGTGAGAGGAGAAAGATCTGCTGAGGTGATCTGCCAGATTGTTCTGGGCTCCCAGAAGGTGAGAAGTTTCAAGGTGGATCAAGTGCTTCACGCAGAATTCCCACAAGCAAATGGCCTCTTGACATGTGGGAAGAGCGTGCCCCTCTCTGCCTGTTGATGTAAAACATGGCTGCCATGTTGTCCGTAAGGACTCTCATAACCTTGCCTGCAATCTGGGGTAAAACACCTGGCGTGCTGGGCAGACCACTCTGAGCTCTCGGACATTTATATGTAAGGAGAGTTCCTCCTGGGACCACAGACCTTGGGTCCTGAGGTGCTCGAAGTGAGCCCCGCAACCTACTTGAATGCATCCAAGATTCTTCATACTGAGGGTTCTGGAATGAAGAAGGGAACGCCAAAGCCTACCAACTGGGAGTCCTTCTACCAATCTAGAGAGGTGAGGGCCTGGGTGGAAACTGTAAGCCCAGAGTCCAAATGATGACATATTGATGAGTATGCTGAGGCCAGTCATGCTTGAAGGGCTCTGAGGCATAGTCTCGTGTGCTGTACTGCTTATGTGCACATGGCCATATGACCCAATCGTCTGAGGCAGAAACAGGCTGTCATGATGGGGCGGGCCTTGACCTGTGATATCAGGGATGACATTGTCTGGAAGTGGGCCGCTGGGAGGAAGGCTCTGGCCTGGGTGGAATTGAGCACTGCACCAATAAACTATCCTCTGAATGGGGACGAGCGTTGACTTCTGCTCGTTTATCAGCAGGCCCAGTGCTCGGAGGGTAGCTTGAACCAGGTGGATTCTGGCTCTCACCTGGGCCTCGGACCAACCCTTGATCAGCCAGTCGGTCAAGGTAAGGGTAGACTTGCACCCCTCGCCTCCTGAGGTAGGCCGGCATTACCACCATGCATTTCATGAAAACTGAGGGGCTGCTGACAGGCCAAAGGGGAGGATGGTGAACTGGTAGTGGGTCTGGTTCACGATGAACCTGAGAAACCTTCTGTGGCTCCAAAATATGGAGGTGTGAAAATAGGCATCTTTTAAGTCGAGGGAGATGTACCAGTCCCCTGGATCCAGGGAGGGAATAATGGAGGCCAGGGAGACCATGTGGAACTTCAGTTCCTTGAGATAATGGTTGAGGAAACGCAGGTCTAGGTTGGGTCTGAGATCCTCTTTGGCCTTCAGGATTAGGAAATAACGGGAGTAAAACCCTTTCCCTCTCAAGCTCTGAGGTACCTCCTCCATGGCTCCTGCCCGGAGGAGGGCTTGTACCTCCTAGGCTAAAAGTTGCTTGTGAGAAGGGTCCCCTGATGGGAATGGGGAATGAGAGGGAAAGGTGGAAATAAACTGTAGAGTGTAACCTTCCTCCACCATAGTCAGCAACCAACCGTCCGAAGTGATGAGGGCCCACGCTGGGCTGAAGTAGGAGAGACTGTCTGAAAACAGAACAGGAACAGGATCCAGTAAAGGAATATAATGCACTTGGGCACCAATAGCCATGGGAACATATGGCTGGCTGGCTGGGTGCACGACTCCAACTTAGACAAGTCATCCTGCGGGGACCATGGAGGAGCGGTACCTGTCAATTCCACTGGCCCGTGCCTCGGGGGTCGGGGAAATGGTGCCGGAGCACGGAAGTCTTAGCTGACATCAGCAAGGTCGGTTTCCCTCTGAATGGTACTGGAGGACCCAGTATCGAATAGGAACTTGTGGCAACATGCTCCCTTCTGCTCGTCTTCACCGCCGGTGCCGGCTCTTGTTCTGCTGGCGATGGTGGTACCGAGAGCACCTGTAAGTCCCTGTCCACAACGAACACCTCCAGGATGGATGGCACCGTGATCCTGCTGGCGCCACAATGTCCCCCCTGCACCAGACTCAACGGTGCCTGCGAGTAGGGCAGAGTTGACTGTGCAATTTATGGAGGGGGACAGGGGAGTGGCCCAATGCAGAGCACCCCCTGCTGGGCTCCCCATGCTTTTTCCTCAGATCAGGGAATGTCCCCTCATGAACTGCTGCTTTGTGTGCCAAGAGTCCCGTGCCACAGGAGGAGCACTCTGTATTGACACTGAGGTACTCGGTGCCACGTCCGACCAGCTTGTCTCCAACACCGGTCTAGGTGCAGCTTCCATCGGGATTGACTTTAACCTAGCCTCCTTGTCCTCTTCCTTCGTACGAGGCTTGAACTCGTGGAAGATTTGACAATGCTCTTGACACTTCAGTAGCTGGAGTGTGGGTCACTCACCGGCATGGGCTTGCTGCAGGCAGCACAGGGTTTGAAGCCCAGAGACCGAGGTATGCCCAGCTTCAGGAGCGGAGGATGCTCCGTTAGACAGATGCAAGAGTCCAGCTAACTATTTACACTGACTACCAAGAAGACAAACTGAAGATGCAGCAAGAACCGTTGAGAATTGCCTTACGGTCCTGTTCCAGCGACCGTCGTGGGTGGTAAGAAGGAAGTGAGAGGGGGTGGAGCTGGCCTGACCCCATATTACCAGCGCATGAGCACGTGGCACCAGAGGTGCTAGAGCCGGCCTGACGGATACCACAGAGGGTAAAATCTGCAGTGACTGGGCATGCAGCCTGCACACACCTAACAGAGAATGGACATGAGCAAGCACTTGAAGAACCGACACATACTAAGTACCAGCAGAGGGAATGGTAGAGAGAGGTATGGTCAGGTGGGATGGCATGGATTGAGGTAGGATGTCTCAGATGGTGTCAGTTTTGCCTTTGAAGAAATCAGCAAGAGCTTCTCTTGCTGTGCACCCCCATGCTCCCTGTCAGAGCGTTGGGAGGGGACAGGGCTTAGCTGCCAGTTCTAAGCCAGCTACACCCTTGACACCAATTCCAAGCCAAACTGTGGTGGTGTTTATTCTTGGTGTTCTAGGAGTGCTTAAAGTCCCCAACCAGTCTTAGGTAATTTATGAAGTTTCTACCCTGAAGAGCTTCCAATCTAAGGCTATGTCTACACTATGAGCTAGAGTGTGAATCCCCAGCTCCCATGCACCTATTAGCTGAATGAAAGCTAGTGCGAGTATAAAGAGTAGTGTAGCCATGCAAGTATGGACAGCGGCAGCAAGGCTGTGTATGTACCCACTGGTTTCAGGGAGGTTTGTACTTAGCATGGCTAAGCCGTGCCACCGCTAGCACTGCAACTATTTATACTTGCACTAGCTCTCATCAAGCTACCATGAGTAGTATATGTGTGTGAGCTGGGAATCGCACCCCTAGGTCATAGCACAGAAGTAGCCCTAGGTAGGTCTATGCTATGGAGCAACAGCATGTTTCATTTTGAACTGTTCTACCCAACAACTTTGCAGCATGGAGACTGCTAAAGCTTTTGTTCTGAGCTTGCTGTGATAGTCATCCAACAATTCCTTTTCATCCCATCTCTACTGGAAGCTACTTGGTTGGTGTTTAACACTTCAGTTCCACACAGCTCTGCAAAACACCATTAGAAGATGTCCAGCACCTGGTGTGCTGCTAGCCAGTTGGAGGCGCATGCCAAGGCTCTCGCTAACTTGTGGCGTAAGTACAGCAAGCAGCATGATTTTGGGAGAAGCGTTGGAAATGTGCAGGTGGGGATAAACTGAACTGGTGTGCAGTGCAGGGAGCACCTCAAACACTTAAAGACCCTCTAATGCAAAGCTAAAGGATGGCAACAACAGTTCCAGGAATTCCCCTGCTATCTGGCCTTATTAAGAGGAGTTTGAGCAGTTGCTCATGACTGCCCTGAGCCCAGAGGCCTGCGTGACATACTTTTGAATGTAGATGATCTTGATGATGAGACCAGAGGGAGAGGGATTGCACCAGAAGAGAAGGTGGATTCTGAGGAACAGACCAGTGCTGATAGCTCAGGAGCAGCCCCTGTGGCCAGATGGGCTCGTGTGCATCCTGGGTCAGTTTTGCTAGGACTCGTTTAGGGATGGGCCCAGAAAACAACCTGGAGTGAGAGAGAGGGGAGCAGCAGCCGGACCTACATCCACAGCTAGGCAAAGTGGCATCTGCCATCTTCATTATTACCATAGGGGAAATTGTAGCAGAGGTAGGGGAGGGATTTCTGCATTATGACTTGTTATGAAGATTACATGCAGTGTGATAGGTTTTGCTTCAGTTGACGGTGGAAGTCACAACATTTTCCTGGTGCCACTGCTGCACCTCCCAATGTGACCCTGAATGAAAGCCAGCCAGGGGAGAAAAATGTAAACACAAAACAGATTGTTACTACCTTGGCATTTTTTAAAAAGATGCAGGATTACAGACTGGACTAGCACATATACTGCTGTCTTTGTAACTGGCATATCAGAGGAATGGTAGGTAGATCTTTACTAGCATTACAATATTATCTCAGACTGCATGATTTAAGACCCAGTGGCTGAATTAAGTAGAAAAGTCCCTTGTAGACTCAGTAGCATGCTGTCCAGATTGGGGCACAGGGAAGGGGAGGAAGTCAGTTGTGCTTGTTTGCAACCTTCTGCATTCTCGTTCAGCATCCTGTTAGTGTTTGCCTGAATCTTTCCTCACTCCTAGCAGGTGCTGTTTGATAATTTTTCATGCAGAAGAAACTCAAGACAGATAGTTTCTATGTAGGGCAGACTTCCAACTACTCCAGTGGTAGCTTGCCAGTCCTCTTGATTCCTTAAGACTGTGTTTAGTTCCCACTTGATGAAAAGCTCCTTTGCATAGATGGGATTCCAATAGTAGCCTGCAAAAGTTAGTCCTTACAGTCTGATTTCCAGACCAGTAATATCCCAAAGCCTTCTCCAGCCTGAACTAATGTTGAAACCAGTACTGATACTAGGCCCCTGATCTGATTGGGACATGTTTTTTTGGAGGAGGGGTGTAGGGCAAAATTTTAAAAACTAATTAAATCTGAAATTCTTACCATGGGGTATCTTTGGTCAGGATACATTGCAAGAAGGAGCTTGTGAATAAGCCGTGTATACAGATGATAGAAAAGCATACCATATTGATAACAGTATCAAACTGTGGCTCTGCCTGACTACAGCATGTAAAGGGGGGAGGGGAGTTATTGGGGTCTAGGACCCGTAGTCATAGCCCAGAAACCTACAAATCTTTCAATTTTTACCCCATCACCCAATGAAAAATTGTGCAGGTTCATTTTCTTGGCCAGGCACTTCCACAGGATCCTCAACCAGGATGGGAAAAGGAAGAGGGTCACAGATGACCTGGAGTGGCCAAAAGTGAAGGAAGATAATGATAGTGGTTTTCCTCAAACTGACCAGAGAACTAGGCCTCAGGCCCAGATCACCCCTAGGCTGCAGCCTTCAGTACCATCACCCATGCAGCTATTGGACAGTTCAGGAGCTAGGTGGGCTGGGAACAAGTCCACAAACTAGAAGAGATAGATGTATCCTGTGCACTACACCCCCCAACAACCAGAAGTGGAAAGAGACCAGGAGGCATTCTATTCCGCAGCCAGCGAGACTGGAGCATGGCCTTCAGTTATTTATATTATTTTACACACTTGTAAGTAGTTATTGATGGACAGAATACACTGGGTATGTCTTCAGGGGCTATATTAATTAGTTGATTTGACTGTACAGCACCTTTGTGGGTGAGTGCTTGGCACCTGTCTGACTCTTCATTCTTTCCCAAAAGTGTCACATTCTTGTAATCATATAAAACCAATAGCAGTGGAAACCAAATAAATGAACATGTATACAGCAGAACACATATCACCTCATTCCCCTCACCCTGTGCTGCAAGTATGTGGGCACACAAGGCATCCCTCCTTTCTCATGCTGACTTGGACTCCAATCCTACTGATGAGATGCACTTGGCCCTCTGATAGTTTGTAGGCCTGCTACAGAAAATCCATGAGCTCATACCATGTGAAAATTCTTGCCTTTATCTTTAGATGTGCAGAGTGCAGCATCCCCCAACAGTACAGATAGCACTGACTACAAAACCCTTTTCATCATCCTGCAACTGCTAAGTGTGCAATTAACCCTTTTTGCCAGGTGCTCTGTGGTCAAGGCAGAGTTTCATGAGCCATGGCAGCAGATGTAAGGAGGGGAGGTAGGCGCTCATCCCCTAACAGTGGGCCCAGACCCATTAATGATCATATTAATGAGGGGGAGGAAAGGTAACCACAAGCTTTCAGCACCCTGGCATCGTGCACTTTTCCAGTACATCCCTGGTTGGTGTTCATGAACCTGCCTCCATGGCTGACCAAGCTCTGCAGAACACTGTTGTAGTAATCCTTTGGGTCAATATTCACTTGATCCTTATGGTTAGCACTCCATTCTCTGCAAGCTATTTATTTATACCTACAACCCATGGGTAAAGCACAGTATTAATTGCCTCATAAACCTCCATAACCCCCACAGCTTAGCTATGTACCTGTAACAGACTGGGCTGGGGAGTTTTTAGATGGCAACAGCAACCTGCTTCTGGAACAGCATTGCCTCCCTCATTTCACTGCTCCATGAAAGTCTATTTCCTACTGTAGAACTTCTGGCCTCACTGTTGGTCATCCCATCCTGGTGTGCTAGTTGTCCTGCACCAGAAGTGTTGATCTACATAAGCTGCAGCAATTGAGGGGATTCTGAGTCCTGCCCCTGAAATGTCATCCACAATCTTGCAGAACATCAATCCTGCTGCATAAGCAACAACAGCTTTTCCAAGGATCATGCTGGATCCATGACTTGGCCCCACCTAGAATGAACAGATGAGAAACATGTAGAGCAGGAAGTTTAGAAGTGTTGATGGGCTAAAACCACTTCCATAATAAACTAAGTCCTAGAGCAGCTTCAGTTAATGAGATAATCTGGGATATACCCCAAAAACCTAGAGCCTACTCTGTGTAACTGTTTCACCAGTGTGGATACATGTACAATTAGGTATGGGTCATGTGGTGCTGCACCATGGATGCTGGGAGAAGAGCTTAGCTAGTACTTGTCTGCTTGCACATGAGTTAGGACACAGCTACATACTGTAATATGGATGTGATGGTGCACCCCCAAGGCTTTATGGAAATATACTTATGAATGTATATATGACATAACTGGAATATGTTTTATGCTACATATGCCATGTAACATATCTCTGTAAAGGTTATGATCTACTGAATCTATTCCTCCTATTTGTATGCATGTATCATTTTTGTGTTTGAAGTTATGAATATTGGCTGTGTAGTTGCTTGATTTCTAAGTAACCTTAGTAAAGCATTTGGTCAGCTTCTTGAGAAAGGAATGTGCAAAGTGAGTGTCCACTTAAGGACAATGAATCTTGGAAGGCTCCAATCCACATAAGAAGTCTACCTGAGGACCTTCAGGGTAGCATGTAAACAATGGCTGCTGCCTATAAAAAAAACCCCAGAGTATGTATTAATACCTGGGGGGGAGGGGCAACCCCATTGGGAGTGGAGCATCTGAGTGTTAAAGACAGGAACACTTCTTAAGTTGCTTTCAATTAAGTCTGCAGCTTTGGGACACGTGGTTCAGACCCTGGGTCTGTGTTGCAGCAGACTGGCGTGTCTGGCTCAACAAGACACAGTGCTGTAGTCCCAAGCTGGCAGGGAAAGCAGGGGCAGAAGTAGTCTTGGCACAACAGTTGGCAGCCCCCAGGGGGTTTCTGTGATCCAACCCGTCACAATGGACATATCCTCAGAGGCAAGAAAGACAGACAACCGTAATGTGTATTTCTCTTTATCCGACTACCAAACACATGCCCTTGTTCATTTTGAGTGCCTCCTTCCACTCTAACCCATCCCCACAGGGAAAAAAGCCAGCCTTATACCAGAGGGAAACAAGCCATTAAAACCCCCGAAGTCTGAAGCTATGCTCCTGGCTGCATCCCCACTCCCACTCAGAGTGATCATATTATTTCTTAGAAGTTCAGTATATTTAGCTTCATTTGTTAAAAACAGAATGAAGAGCATGAAATGTCAAGGAAACAGTGAAACAAGTAGGTGCAGATTACACTGGTTTGATTGCACTGATGAAAGAATTCAAAAACTTTATTGACCTATAACCTGATTAGAATATGCCAGATGAGAACCAATATTGTACAGAAAGTTGTACAGAATTTTTACATAGAAAACTTTACATATCTGTACCATATACATTTTGTCCATCTGAAAAAATTTTCTACATCCACTGTAATACAGAATGCTTGACAATCTTGTCTTTAACCATCAGGGCACAATTCACAGTATGAATACATTTCCAATAAATTTAACCATCCCCAAACCATGCCAGATTTGTTACTTTAATATATTCAACATTAAATTCTGTACATAGAGTGAAATCTACATCAAACAAACAAAAAGTGACAGCAGACACAACCTAGACTGTTTGCAGTGATTCAAGTTCCAGTCCTTGAAGGATCATCATATTTCAATGGCTCTTTATATTTAAAAGCCCTAAAACAAGTATATTACAGGTAGTTATGTCAGTCGTGAGATTTTCTACCTCTGTTCTTGACAAAATTCAGCAACACTAACTTTTGGGCTACAACAAAACAAAAATCATAACTCAAAAAAATAAACCCAAACTTCTAGTGCATTTGGTAAACCATAAAATGTTATGGGTTTTTAGCAAATCAATAAGAAAATACAGAAACAAAACAATGCAGGAAGAACTGTATAGTGTTTAATAATTTATATTACAGACCTGCATCTTTGTACATTTTTCACAGAAGGATGATTACCAATATCTCAGACCGCCTGAGTGTGCAAAAAATTTTAAGAGTAAGAATATCAGACACAGTTGCTAAATACCTTTTACCATGAACAATAATTTTCCATTCTTTTTTCACTATAAACATTTTATCCTTCAAAATCCAGCTCTCCTGAGTTGTACTTCTGGCAGAAGTTCAAACCTTTACATATATAGTTCTTTGGGTACGTTTTAATTTCACACCCGCCATAAACATCTGTTGCTATACTGCTATCTAGGACAGTAAAGGATATCGTAGCCCATGCTGACAACAGGACCGTGCTAAAAACTGGCTCTATGCTCAACATGAGCCAGGAAAGAGAACCAATAGAGATAATCCATCAGAAAACTGAAAGGAACTGGAGAGTTGCAAGCCTGAATTACAGCGGTAAGTATCTGTACCATTAACCCTTAGATACATGTTGCCATACAAAGAAACCGTTTTTATGGCTATCCAGACAAAGCCTCAGCTACCAGGTCCTTTTAAATAGCCAAGGGATGTAATCTCGAAACAGAGCAATATTCAGTCAATGCTTGCTACTGCTTGTTTGTTCCAGGCTCCTGCTCTGGTGGTTGGGATATCTGAAAAACTACACCAATCCGCAGGAAAAACCTTCGCAGAACAGCTCGAAGTTCAGGAATTAGGTCAAACTGCATAATTTCACACAAGAGAGGGTAGTAGAATGAGGCATGAGCTTTGAACTGAGGGGGAAAAAAATAAAGTTATTCTATTATACATCAACCTTCACAAGCCTGTTCTTTAGAGTGTAGGATTTCAAATACTATGCATCAAGGTGAGACACAGACACAAAATGATGACAAATGTTAATGGAGTTCAAGTACAAACAATTTTATAATCGGGCTGCTGGACGAAGGCTCATTGTATGTGACGTATTTTGAGGTATCCTGCAGTGGCTATATACTGTATCTACACTTTTTGTTAAACTATTGCTCATTCTGAGAAAGAAGGGGTTTTTCCCTTTTCCACTTAAGATTTGTGCACCTTGTCAGCTAACATCTGCCGCATGGCATCAAATTTTACTAAACCCAAGAAAGTTTAGTGGAGTGTGGGGGCCGCGGAGGTCTCAGATGAAAGTACAATAATTACTTGCTGTACAATTGCTGAAACATTCTAATTTGTCCAGAAGATTCATTCCAGAATTCATTATTACACATAGCATAGGAGTATACAGGGACGGGGCGTTATGGGAAGAATTAGAAAAAGAACGTATTTATTAACCACTAATCCTTCCCTCATAGTAGCTGTTTGTGGGAAGCAACTTTTAAAGACCGTCCTCAAGGCAGACGTATCATGTCTTCATGTTATTTCATCACAGTATGCTCGTCCTCCCTGCCATCCTCATCCTCCTCTCTAGTGTCTGTCATCATCCCTCATGTACTGTCTCAAATTAGACAGCAAGTTCCTAAGGGCAGGACATTTTCTCAATTGTCTGTAAAGCAGCACGAACATTTAAAGGTCTATAACTACAAAGCCAATATATCATCTTAGTACTTTTTTGGCTTCATGTTTTCAAAGTTTTTTGAGCATACCAGTGTTCACATAATAAAACTTGGAACCAGTTCTTATTTGCAGTACTGCTTATTTTATTTTAAAATATCTTTTATGCAAATACTTACCCTTTCATCACTTATCTTGAGGACCTTAGTCAAGAATAAGAGTAGTAGATTAGTCCAGGCTTCCCGGTGACTTTCTGATGTAAGAGTAAGGAAGTAACTTAGAGCTTCACTGCAGACACTATAGAGAACATCAAATTACAGAAGGTAACAAAGTGTTTGCAAATGCTATTGTAACCATAATCAATACTGAACGAGACCCTGGCCAGAATAGCACCATTTTGGGAAAGGGAGTGTAAGCCTCATTTGCCAAAATAAAGGAGAAGTGCCCTAAAAAAATGTAAGTAGGGGAGAGAATCTCAACCCCCATCCCTGTTGTAGTTTTGCACAACTGGTACTTTTACCAGTCCTAGGACTGTAATATCAGGGATGCTGCCGATCAGGATTGAACTGGCCTGGCAAAGTAAGGTGCCTACCCCAGCCAGTGCTATCATGCTCAGGCCTATCATATTTTCTTCAAATATATTACACAAAACAGTAGTAGCAGGCTCTCTCAGAGGTGTTAGAAAATTATAGAAGTAGAAAGATACTTAAAGTCCTTCTATATTTCATATAATTTCTGGATGTGATAACAAACCTCACACAGATTTATCAGTCTTTCAGAGTCACTATATAGTCTGTAAATCTGAGTGCGATCACCACTGTATTTAAGTCCTATATTGTTCAGTCACTTGAAAGGGTTTTGTAGATTAAAATTTTTCTTCCAACAAATATGAGAGTTCAGAATAATTAATAACCAATACCCCCAAGAGGCACTGTGTGTCAGTAGGTTCCTGAAGCTCAGTGGCACCTGGGTCATTTCCTACAAGTGAGAGTATGTAGTGAATTCTCAAAGAAAAATGGTGTCTATTCTCAGATTCATGTTAAAGAAGGACAGGAGGTCAACTTTTCACAAACAACAGCAACAAAAACTTTAGGAGCAAAGGAAATTCCCCGCCACACCCCCACATGGAACATACCAGGGGTAAGGCTGACACCACCCTATGTTCTGCCACTTTTGCAAGGTTTTATGGACAGGGCAGGGAGAGAGCGGAGAAGATCAGAAGAATTGCACTCGTCTACACCACATCAGGTGTTTCAGCTGTAACTTTCATTGTACTATTTCCTTTTCAACACTATATAAACGTTAACAACTGTACATATAGCAAATCAGAGCACATTAATGTGTTTCATGTTTAAATATATATTTTAATGTTACAGCTATTGCAATGATCTTACTTCAGTAGTCTTTGCTGGACTTCATCCCATGCACCGGTGCGGCTTTCATCCATGTACATGCGGAAAAGAATGCGCAACCCACAGGCCAGGCTACTAGTCTCCTGTTTCAAAAGATTGGGCTTTGATTTGCCTTTAAAACCTGGAGAAATGTAAGGAATACAATTAAATTTGTTACTTTCATCTTGAACTTTCCCTTTGTACTTTTATCTTTTAAAAATGCTTGTTTGCCAGTAAGTGGCCACTACAAATTACCCATTTATTTAGATCTTGTAGCAGGTAGCGCCATAGGGCAGTGCTGCTGTTTGGGGTCTCTGTCTACTACCATAATCATTTGCCAGCTGTTTGCGGCAGGCAGGAGGTGCGGGGAGGGAGTGGGAGGAGTTGATTTGTGGGGCCTGCCGGCAGGCAGGAGACACTGGGGGGGAAACTGGTTGGGGGGCTGCCGCTGGGTGCTCAGCACCCACCATTTTTCCTCCATGGGTGCTCCAACCCTGGAGCACCCACGGAGTCGGCACCTATGTTGCTAATGTTATAAACCAAAACTAAACTATCACACATTTTTATTTTATCTTTTTCCTTTTCTGAAAGGAAAGTTTCTTTTAAAGGAAAAGAAATGTCAGATATTTAAGTAACCAACCAGAAAAGAATCTCCATTGAGCTCTATGACTAATATACCTATAGCTAAGGCTAATTCACTATGCGGGTGACTCCCTAAGGTGATATAGCAAGGGAATCAGCTCAAAACACGCAACTGATTCGGTTCAAAACACAGTAACATTGTTTTCTCAAATATTTTTCTAAATGGAGGTGACCCACCTGCTTTCCAGAGAGCAGTTCTTTGTTCATTGTTTGAATTAAAAGCTTTAGCAAATCTGTGAGATTCCAGTAAACAGTCCAGCAGTTTGAAAAGCTGTTGCGATGTTAGAAAACGATACATTCCTTGATCTTGTGTGTCCACATGAACATCGAAGTCTACTGCATCTCTCTTTAAAAAACAGACTTAGAACAGTCAGACTCAGAACAGTACTGACTACTGATTGTTGGTCATGGCAGTGAAGCTTTGCGATATCAGTCATTAACAACCAATTATGCCAACTCAAGGGCAAAAGGCTGTTGACATTTTATTGTTCTATAATTTCTCTTTTAAAGACAGACACTATGAATTATGCCCCTTACCTTATTTCTAGCCATACACACACTTAAACTTAGATCTGGATAGAACAAACAAACAAGTAACAACACATACGAGGTAAGGAAATTTCATCACACACTAGTAATATCTAAATTTAAGCCTCCACAAAGTGGTCTGCCTCTGTGGGGGGAAGGCTGAATTAATGTAAGGTTTAACAGACACTTTGGTTGCTTTGTTGGAAATTATGTAATTGTTCTAAGAAACTATTAGTTGACTGAAGTCGCAAGAGCTTATGGAACTTAATCTACTAGTGAAAATCTTCCCAAAAGGCTAACACCAACCACTCAAACTTACTTGTGCTGCTGCTAGATTCTCTGCATCTTCTTTTTTGCTGGTTGCTGGGAAGAACACAATGTTGTCGATAGTCTGAATAAGCTCCAGTTGTACAACACATTTGATTAACAGAGCAGCAAACAACTTCTGTTCTGGAAATTCTTTAAAAAAATAAAAAATAAAAATAAATCAGCAAAATTACTTATTCTAGCAACTTTAACAGTTACTCAGGCAAAAAAGTAAAGTACAATTTAAATTTGTAAGTAAGTTATTTTAGTGAAGACTTTCAGGACAGACCTATACTTAAAAGAATGTAATTGCATGGATAGTTAAAAACCAAGCCTGAAATGTAAAAATTCATCCACTGATTTATCACCACACACACAAAAGTTTGTCAATATATTTTATAATGGGGAAGGGTTTTTTCCCCATCTTTTCAAACCTCTAAAATTGTTGAAGGGTTTTAGTTCAGTTTATAGGAGGCAGGTGTCCATCACCACAAAACTACCAACTAAGTTCTGGCAGTATTGGCAGAATAGCCAGAACTCAACAGGCAAAGTGATTGTCACTTATAAAAATGGACCCTTTCAGACTAGCATTAAGATACATTTGCCTTCTCTATACTGGAAAATACTCGCAAGTTAAATAGGGTGATTAGTCACTAATACATCAAGCATCTACACATACATTTGCAACCAAGGTTCTAGAGGCATGCTTTGTAACATTTGTTAGCTCTCCTCTGGACAGGAATGAAAATGTTTTGTTCTCAGCTACTGTTAGCTTATGTTACATCTCCCACAAAAAATTAAATTCAAGGAAAGAAAGATTAAGTTACTAATTTATAATCATTTTATAAGGAGTCAAACACTGTGTTTAAGAAATCTTGCTTTAAGTTACAAATTTACTAGCAACCTAAAGCAAGATTTTTAAACACAGGGTGAAATCCTGGCCCCATGGAAGCCAATGGGAGTTTTGCCATGGACTTCCAAGGAGCCAAAATTTCACCCAAGGTGTTTTTCTCCTTATAAAACTGTTGAATTCTTGCCCTCACCACAGAGAACTAAAAATCATATATCCATTAAATAATATCTTCAACACAGCGTATCTCAATCTTTTTGTGCTGGCGACCCTCTTTGGACTTAAAAAAAAATTGTGACCCCCCCCATGCTAAAACTTCAAAAAATGGTCACCCCTTACCTTAAATATCAATAAGTAAATTATGAATAATAAACTAATATTTCAAACCTATGCAAATATATAGAGTGATTAAAAATTAATCATGATTAATCGCACTGTTAAACAATAGAATACCATTTAAATATTCTGAATGTTTTCTACATTTTCAAATATATTGATTTCAATTACAACACAGAATACAAAGTGTACAGTGCTCACTTTAGATTTATTTTTATTACAAATATTTGCAATGTAAAAAACAAAAGAAATAGTATATTTCAATTCACGTAATACAAGTACTGTAGTGCAATCTCTTTATAATGAAAGTAGAACTTACAAATGTAGAATTATGTAAAAAAAATAACTGCATTCAAAAATAAAACAATGCAAAATTTTAGAACCTATGAGTCCACTGTGTCCTATTTCAGCCAATCGGTCAGACAAACAAGTATGATTACAATTTGCAGGTGATAATGCTGCCTATGTCTTGTTTACAATGCCACCTGAAAGTGAGAACAGGCATTCACATGGCACTGTTGTAGCCAGCATCGCAAGATATTTATGTGCCCGATGCGCTAAAAATTCATATGTCCCTTCATGCTTCAACCACCATTCCAGAGCACATGCGTCCATGCTGATGATGGGTTCTGTTTGATAACGATCCAAAGCAGAGCGGACCAACGCATGTTCATTTTCATCATCTGAGTCAGATGCCACCAGCAGAAGGCTGAGTTTCTTTTTTGGTGGTTCAGGTTCTGTAGTTTCTGCATTGGAGTGTTGCTCTTTTAAGACATCTGAAAGCGTGCTGTACGCCCCGTCCCTCTCAGATTTTGGAAGGCATTTCAGATTCTTAAACCCTGGGTCGGGTGCTGTAGCTATCCTTAGAAATCTCACATTAGTACCTTCTTTGTGTTTTGTCAAATCTGCTGTGAAAGTGTTCTTAAAACAAACACGTGCTGGGTCATCATCCAAGACTGCTATAACATGAAATATATGGCAGAATGTGGGTAAAACAGAACAGGCGACATACAATTCTCCCCCAAGGAGTTCAGTCACAAATTTAATTAATGCTTTTTTTCTTTAATGCGCATCATCAGCATGGAAGCACGTCCTCTGGAATGGTGGCCGAAGCATGGAGGGGCATATGAATGTTTAGCATATCTGGCATGTAAATACCTTGCAACACCGGCTACAAAAGTGCCATGCGAATGCCTGTTCTCACTTTCAGGTGACATTGTAAATAAGAAGCAGGCAGCAGTATCTCCCGTAAATGTAAACAAACTTGTTTATCTTAGCAATTGGCTGAACAAGAAGTAGGACTGAGTGGACTTATAGGCTCTAAAGTTTTACAGTTTTCTTGTTGAGTGCAGTTATGTAACAAAACAAAACAAAAATCTACATTTGTAAGTTACACTTTCTCAATAAAGAGATTGCCCTAGAGTACTGTATGAGGTGAATTGGAAAATACTGTTTCTTTTGTTTATCCTTTTTACAGTGCAAATATTTGTAATAAAAATAATAATATAAAGTGAGCACTGTACTTTTCATTCTGTGTTGTAATAGAAATCAATATATTTGAAAATGTAGAAAAACATCCAAAAATATTTAATAAATTTCTCGTATTCTATTGTTTAACAGTGCGATTAATCGCAATAATGTTTTTTAATCACAGTTAATTTTTTTTATTTAATTGCATGAGTTACCTGCGATTAACCGACAGCCCTAATATAGAGTAATTTGTTATTGTTATTCTTTGCAGCTAGCAAATATGTATGTGTGCTTTTCAGCGAGATCTTCTTGTGCAATGGATAAATGTTTAAAGAGAGCTCAAGTAAGTACTTTGCAGAATGAAGGCGTGAAGAAGGCAAAGTGCAGAAAATATGATTGCAGCTATTTAATGTGCAGTTTTATAGCAATCAAAAAATAAACCTCATTGTGTTGTGTGTAGTGAAGTGCTAAGTGCTGAAAGCAGGAAACCTTTGAAATTAAGTCAGCATTTGGAAAGTAAACATCTACAGTTAAAGAACAAGCCTCCTGAGTTCGTTAAAGAGAAAATGGAACAGCTTGAATAGCCAGCAACCACTGATGCCGAACACAAGGAATGTCAGTAAGAATGCTCTTCAAGTTTCATATCTCATGTCACTTTGTATTGCCCAAACATGTAAGGAACATACAATAGCTGAGAATCTCATACTTCTTGTGGCATTAGACATGGTTACAAGCATGCTCGGCCATGAAGAGGCAAATAAACAAAGCTATTCTTTTATGAAATGATACAGTTTCGAGGCATATTAATGAAATGGCTGATGACATTCATGAGCAGTTGAAAGAAAAGTTAAAATGGAATGAATTCCTAGCTGCTCAGTTTCATGAATCAACAGATGTTCCAGGATCAGCACAGTTCTTAGCTTTCCTTCGATACAATTCAGATGCTACTGTTGAGGAAAACATACTCTTCTGTAAAGTGCTGCCTAGCCACATGACTGGTGAATATCTATTTAACGTTTCTGCTGAAGCTACCAAATTATTTTGAAATCGATTGGAAAAAATGTATTGTTATATGCAGTGACGGTACCAAAGCAATGACTAGCAAGAACAGTGAGCTTGTTGCAAGATTAAGAACAATTATGCTGCATGCAATTTGGACCCATTGCTTCTTACATCGGCAAGCACTTGCTGCGAATGGAAAGCCTTCTGAGTTGCATTACTTGATGAGTCTGTAAAAGTTGTGAATTTCATAAAAAAGCCTATTTCTATCAGCTCGCCTGTTTGTGATGAAATGGGTGCACTTCATAAAAGTCTTCTCTTGCACAATGAAGTGAGGTAGCTCTTAGGGGGAAAGCGTTAAGCAGACTTTCTGAATTGCAAGCTGAAGTACTTATGATCCCACAGGATCAAGGGTCTCCTTTTGCTAAATCGTTCTGGGATCATTCATGGTTTCTTCAATTGGCTTACTCAGACATCTTCAATCATCTCAATGAGTTAAACATGAGTTTTCAAGGACAGCACAAAACCATAATTGTGTTGGGAGACAAAGCAAGAGCCTTTGAAAAGAAGCTTGGAGCCTGGTCTGCTCGGCTTCAGAGTGGAAACTTCGAGTCATTTCCTCTGTGTTGCAAGTTCATTAAATCAATTGCTGATGAAAAGAGTGTGGACATAAAACAATTAAAAAACATTATGATTGAACATATACTCGAACTTAAAAAGCAGCTCCAGGATTACTTCCCACCTGATGAGGAAGAACATGGCAAGAGGTGGATAATTAATTTGTTCAACAAAAGAGAAGTCGAGTCTGCCGAACTTGCAGGAAGCCTGCAAGATAAACTGATCAAGTTTTCATCTGACAAAACAGTTTCAGTGTTCATTTCTTTCAGAAGATGTTTGCATGTTTTGAATGGCTTAGAAGCATGAGTATCCCAAACTTGTAACTGAAACTTTGAAAGTTTTAATCCCGTATACAACACCACACTTATGTACATTGGGATTCTCATCAATGGTTTCTTCAATTCAACGCAACATAAAAAAATTATCTGGTACAAAACAAGCACAAGTGTCTCATTCAAGGACTTCGTAAGACTCTTAATTTGTAAAAAGTGAACTTATAGTTCGTTTCTGTGTAAAAATATACTTTGATCTGGCACACAAATGTTTTTTCGTACCTTTACTTGTGACCCTCCTAAACCCATCCTGAGGACCCCCCCCCGCAGGTTGAGAAACACTACTTTAACAGATACAAAATCCTCTGTTCTCAAGCATTCCTCTTTTTATTTAAAGAAAGACTTACTTGCTGTAGGTCTGGTTTTGCTGATCTCTTCACTTGCTGTGGACCCCACAATGGGCTGAATTTGGTGTCGATCTGAAGATCTTGGCTGGACAGTATCATGAATATCTACAGATTTCTGTGATATTGTATCCTGAAAATAAAATAAACAGTCGGTACATCAAATAAACTGAACAGAAGCTCACCAATGGGTCAACTTTCAATAAAATGTAACTGTAATTTACTGACAATAATTTTGAGGAGTTTTCTATTTCATTATTGTGATTATTTAAAAAATATAATATGCACTATAGCAGTTTTTTGGGAGAAGACCAATTCAAGTAATAAGGTTCACCAAGACAAGGATTGACAACTTCTCAAATACGTGCATGTAGAGCAAAGTAATATAATCAAATAACTAAGATAAAATATGTAACTATATGTTGAAATCAAGAGAATACTTTGCACTTACAATCATTTTTTACCATTTTCAAATACTTCACTGGACCATGTACTAGCATGTCAAGTAAAAGCTTAATTCACGTTTCACTGGATTAACTAAAATATATTAAGTGTAGTATAATTCTGAAACCTGGCATTGCTCTATACCTTCCTTCCAAGTGCTTTATTTACAAATTCTTAGCCCCACCCAGCGAAGCATCATTCTCCAATATATAAATGGGTGAAAATGAGGCATAGAGATGTAAGTGGCAGATCTTGGAATGCTTCAAATAGCAAGAATAAGAGAGCAGTATAACTGAACTTTAATCTTTATTTGCTTCAAGTCCCCTGAAGTCATGAATGATCACCTCATGATGTGTGGTGGGTATAAATCACAGAAGTCTACTGCAGCAAGATGTTGGCTTGGCAGATGGAAATATCAGGTAAATGCCCTATTAAATATTATTATTATTATTATTTGATAGCTAGCTGCTTCAGCAGATTTCTGTGCTATGTATATCAGGAATACTAAAAAAACAGGGGAGTCACAAGACAAGAGCTGACAAGATAAGATCTATGACTTGGGATGACCTGAAAGAGAAAAGCGGCTATATTATATGAATAGCTTCCTTATTCTTGCTGGGTTGAGTATTCTGCATACTAAATTGAAGAATTTTATTTTATTTTTTCACTATTTGTTGATCACCATTAAGACTACTCCCTGCCTTTCATTTTTAAGTACTCGTGGGAAGAGGTAGAAATATTAAATTATTTAATTTAATATAGAAATAAGAATATTCTATCATTAACTGCTGAAGTAGTTTATATAGATGTGTGATTATTATTCCTTTCAATAAGCAAATATTTCCAGTGTCTATTGTCCAGTAAATGCAATTTGAGACTATGATGATTTAAATCTAAGTATTCGACACTTATAAACAATTACAGCATACCAATAATAGTAACCAGGGTTGGGTATTCATCAAACAGTAGACAACTCCTCTCCTAATTTTAGATGAATGCATGTTTGATTTTATACTATTGTGTATAATACCCAGCACTGTTGCATTCAAAACACTTAAGGAACAATCTAAGACAAGAGGGCCATTCAGATGCAAAATAATGGGAGGCAAAGTACTCTACTGGTTATGGAGGAATGGGAGTCAGAACTTCTGGATTTCATTTCCCGTTTTTGCTGATGCCTCGCTCACTGCACGAAACTGGGCAAGTCACAACTACTGTCTCTCAGATTATGCATCTGAAAACGTGTATAATACTTCCTACCTACCTCACAGGAAAACCATGAAACAGCTTTATTTTAAAAAGTTGAGTAAACTTAACTGCTGATTGATCATGAAAATCCACAAACCCCAGCAAACCATACCACAGGATCTAAGGCTACGTCCTCACTGAAAAAGATACATTTTTTACATTGAGATAGCTAACTTGACATAAACACAAATTTTTTTTGCAATGAAGACAAAGCCTGAGACTCTGGGCTTTTTATAAAACATCACTGTGATGCTACTTTAATTTAAAAGGACAACAGCAGCTTTTTAGTTTATTCAAATGATCAAGGACTATCCAGTGCAATATTCAATTATTTACATATTGTATAACTTTCAGCTTTATTTCTAATAATTTCAAATGGAAGTTCAAAAATACTGCCATCATCTACCATTTTATATAGTGCTTTTCACGTTCAAAGCACTTCACGCACATCAGGATGTGGCAAGTACATCTAATAACACTGAATGAGAGTATTGGCTAGAGGTCTAATACAACCAGAAATGAAACAGTTCACATTTATGTTTTGCTATAACTAGACCCCTGAAGAGAAATGGAGGAAGTTCACATATTAGTGTTACTGTTCTGGACCTTGATCCTGCAATGGCATCCAGATAGATGGACCTTTTCACCCATGCAGAGACTTAGGCCCTCCATGTCCTATGAAGATTTACCCAAGTGCTTAATTTAAAAAGCATGAGCTGTTCCATTGAAATCAATGGGACTCAAGCTCTTAATCACATAAGTATGCAAATCCAAAGAAACAACAGCATGTCAGTTTACACCATCAAGGCTTTGAGACTAGATGGGCTACAAACTTTATTTATTTTTAAATGAAAGTTTATATTCTTATTATGAAACACAATCTGTGAGAAAACCCCCAAAAAATCACTGAAGTGCAACAATTTTCTGTGATTATGCACTATGGATTTTATTGTGCTAGCCTAGCTAAAAAGATAAATGCACTCTTATTTAAATTAAATCAAAACAATGTTATCGTCCAAGGAGCCTGGCCACCACTATCGATGGGGGTTATCAGGAATGTGCACATGTACTGGAATATAGCTTACCTACTCTGCACAACACAATGTATGAGCACTGCATAAACAGACTGAAAAACCACTATTTCTTGGCAACTGAATGGGTTTTTTTAAAATACATTATCTAGAAAAGCATTTCCAACCAAACCACATCAAAATTTGGATCTAAACAAAGCACGTTTTACTTGTTCCAAACAACAATGTATATTCAAGGGAAACCCGTGAGAGCTTTAAAAAAAAAAATTAAAACTCATTTTTATAAAACATACCAGCTGTTTCTCTCTCAAAGCAGATGGAGATACAGGGCCAGCCTCTCCACCTGTCGGTCGCCAAGTCAACAGCCTTGAAAAGACAAAGAGCACACACTCAGCAGTTTTGAAACACAAATCACACATTTAGATACTTACATACAAGACACACATTCGTATGCAATGGTTGCCCTGTGTCTAGTATTGTTAGAAATGAAATTGATAAAAGGCATGAAAAATGAATAAAAAATGGAGGCAAAAATATACTCTGTTAATAGATACTTCCAGAAATCTATAATTTAAATACTGTTTTTGAAATATAGTTTTTCAGTTATGAGCAAGAAATAAAAGTAAAAATGTTTACTTCACACTTTTCCAACTATAACTACTTTAGTTCTTAGCTTTAAAAACAAAACAAAAAAACCAACCTCTGGTGTTATTTGTAAACTTTATAACTGATACAGAGCAGAAGCGACAGTAATACTTTGTACTTCCTTAACTTCCACCTTAAGATGTCAAATCACTTTGCAAACACTAAAGAATATCCTTGTGAGTTATTTGTATTACAGCAGTGCCTGGATTTCCTAACTGAGATCAGGGTCCCACTGTGCCAGGTGTTGTACATGCACATTGTAAGGTCTTCAGAGAGCATTACTACCTAACTAGACAAGACAGATAAAGGGTGGGAGAAGGGGATACTAACATTTCTTATTTAACAGAATTGGAACTGAAGTCCAGAGAGATTAAATGACTTGACAAGACAAGAACAGACAAGAATTCTATGGAAGAGCTTGGAATTGAACCCAGATCTCAAAAGTCCCAGTCACAAAAGTCTTCAGGCAACACAAAGCAGGCAGAAAGTTGTCACAAAGGGGTAGCTGGGAACTCTTCTGGAATAGAGGTGGCTAAAGCCAATGTAGTTGGTTTTATGCTACCCAGTCACCATCACGAGGTGGGAAAGAGTGGGCCCAGAGCATGCTGCACTCTAACAATTCTCACTGGCATAATGGCCTTAGGGAGCTATTAAGTGCCTGCAGAAGTTAGACTGTTCTAATTTTTGCCAGGAGCCCGTTCCCAGCTGCTGGCCAAAACCAGGATAAGAGGAGGGTCAATTTTGCCTCTATCAATCTCAGCTATGCCAAACTCTGCTTTGGCACACCTGAGGGTATGGCTTCATCTTAAATAAAATTATAAATTGTACAAATTATATTATTTCTTCTGATTTGTAACAAAGACGACTTCCATCCAGGGCTCCAGAATCTGATGCCTGTGACACACTCAAAAGTGTGTGCACATGCCTGGTGGGGCTCATTGCAGGATTTTTCTACTGTCACCATGTTGCATAAGTACAGGAGCAAAGGTAGGGCAATGATTTCTGCAAAAGCAATTGAGATACTGAAGAATTAATAACCCAATGAATTTGAAAGCATGCCAGGACACCCATTTTACCTGGCTACCCACATGATTCTTCACAAAAGTGATAAGTAATTATTTTAGTTATCTAAGCAAAGAGCTTTTCAAAGAAAGACAAGTAGTATCATTTCAGGATTGTTTAATCACTTTTGAAAACAAAGAGTACATCTACACTTGGAGCTAGCGGTGGGATTCCCAGCTTGAGTAAACCCTCTCTCACTAGCTCTCATTGAGCTAGCATACAAAAAGAGTAATGTAGCCACAGTAGCACTGGCACCGGCAAGCAGCAACATGGGCTAGCCACCACACATCCATCTCCACAGAGTCTGGGTGGGTTTGTACTCAGATTGGCTAGCCTGTGCCACTGCTTGCAACTGCCCATGTTACAGTGGCTCCATACTATTTTTAGCATAGTAGCTCGATGAGAGCTAGCGAGAGTATGTCTAGCCTAACTGGGAATATCACGCCCAGCTCCAAATACAGACATAGACAAAGAGAGCCTGTCAAACACTGGCAGATTCCAGTACCATGTATGAAGACTCACCTATTAAATAACTTTTGAAGCAATCACAATGTTTCTCATACTTAGAGGAATATAAAATACAATACATAAAAACAGGTTTACTGAGTTGTCAATATTAAAAATAGTGTGAGGTAAAGTGCTGGCTGGTTCAAAGGTTACTAACAGAATACAGGGTCTTAGGGTACATTTTCACTGAATCCAAGACATAACTGCAGCTTGGGTAGGCATACCCTCCCTAGCTCTAATCGAGCTAACGTGGCTAAAACTAGCAGTGAAGTTACAGCAGCACAGCTTCAGTGCCGACTAGCAACATGACTATGTACCCAGAAGGCCTGGCTGGGCTTCTTCACTGCTAGTTTTAGCTGAGCTAGCAAGATTAAAGGTACCTACCTGAGTTGCAATCACACCTTCATTTGTATTTTAGTCATATCCTTATTTTTAAGGCATTGGGTCAAATGCAGTCAGTTCGTATGCTGGAAGGCACCTAGAGTTAATACTGAAGTCATTACACCTGGAATAAATGCTAATTTATTAACTAACCACTTCCACGCTAGTAGCAATAAAGCCCTTGCCCTTGATGCAACCATATATACCTCTGTGCTCTTTGCTTCTGCCTGCACTTCAACAAACAGTGTCGGAACAAGGAGAAAGGAAGAAAGAGTATGTGAAGTTACTCAGAGCAGGGAGGGGCTGTTTTCCTCATCCCCAAGCACTGGAGCAACATCCAGAACAAGCTGTGTTGTCAGGGCTGCACTGTAGAATAGAAAGAGGAGAGAGCTGAGGCTCTTTGTACAGGCTCTTTGCTGTGAGGGCAGGAAAAGCCCCAGCCCAAAGAGGAGAGATAGGACAGAAAGATATGACCTGCATGAAGAGGAGACTGCAGGTCACAAGAGAGCTACAGCAAAAAGGCCCAGCTCCCATTGGAAGAGGAAGGAAGCCACAGGCACGGAGGGAGAAAAATAAGGTAGCTTAAGGGCACAGAAACAGCAGAAAAACAGGATGAAAACAAGGAGCCTGCAAAGAAAAGTTCATTTTTGAGGGAAATGGAGTCAGTATTTCCACTAACCCTTCTAGAAAGTCTTAATTTTGCTGAGAAGACATGGCTAAAATGAACAGGTCATTTTGAGCAGTTTCATGTTGCATCAGGGTTGTCAGTAACAGTGATGGGTACCAAGTAAATGTCCTCATATGCCCTGGAAGATGAGGCAGACGACATACTGATCAGAAGACTGTATGTAAAAACACTGATAAAACAGATGATGTTTCACTGGGAAGGCTGCGCATCTCCACAGAATATAAATGGGAACACAGGGATGCTTGTGATAATACAAAAATTTCAACCTATAAAGCTCAAGAAGAAATACAAAATGAAAACCTGAGGAAACTCTGACAGAAGACTGACAGGAAAAAGAGAATGGAAACATATGGAAAATGTGGTAGAAAATCACAACATTCGTGGAAAATGTGTCCAGCCAGAGAAGCAAAATATCATAAATGTCAGCAAAAGGGAAACTGAAGCATTATGCAGGTCTTAAAAGCAGATGCTTAGGCTAGGTCTACACTACGAGGGGGGGGGGGGGGGGGGGGAGGGTGTCGACCTAAGATACGCAACTTGAAGTTGCGTATTTTAGGTCGACTTACTTGGCTGTGAGGACGGCGGCAAGTCGACCGCTGCTGCTCCCCCGTTGACTCCGCTTCCGCCTCTCGCTGCGGTGGAGTTCCGGAGTCGACGGCAGAGCGATCGGGGACCGATTTTATTGCGTCTACACTAGACACGATAAATCGATCCCCGATAGATCGATCGCTACCCGCCGATCCGGCGGGTAGCGAAGACATGCCCTGAGTAGACAATGCAAAAGAACCAGCGTAAGAGGTCCACAACAGAAATTGTTACGGAGCAGCCAATGTCTGATTGTATGAATCCACAGAACAGTGAAGGAGCTTAGTACTTTGGTAAAAATGAAGACTTAACACATTCTGCTTGCACAAGTTCATATTAAAACTGTACATGGTAGCTGACACAATGGGTTAGTATGTTTGGCTTTTCACATCTGGAGACAGGGGTTCAAATGTCACTCTCGGTCACACCAACAAAAGAAACAGTGGTGGTTTCGTTCCAGCCACATTACTTCTCCACCACACAATCTGATGCTTTGATAGCATGTGAAATTTATTATTGGTTTAGCTCAAAGAGTTGTATTATTAAATTAAAACCTAAAACATCTGGGAACTGGCTACCTTTCTGTGGATTTTGTGTTGCTTTAGGTGGTGTGTTGAAGAGGTTTCTAGCCACTAAAGACAGGGAAGGGTGAGATATTTGTGAGGAGAAAGTCCCTCCTCACTGCAATTCCCTCTGCACTTCAGCCTGAATGCCTCATGCATCCCAGCTCCCCCACTATCAGTTCCTGATCCCTCCACTGGGCCAGGTAACATCAGGAAGACAAACCTGAGAAAGGAGAAAATGGTATGGAGCCAGCAGTCATGTGCAGGCCCAGCAGCGTTGTTACATGAGTCAGGACAGAGATAGTGAGACTTCAGAATGGGTAGGGAGTTGCACACTCTGGCTTCATCTACACTACACCCCACTGGTGGCAGTGTGTAATGTATGTTTAGCTATGTGCTGGCGTGAAAAGCTCTCTATGTCCACATTGTGGTGTGTGGCTACAAGTGTCAGTGAAAGGCTCCGGAAGCAGGGAGGCTGTGGGAAAAGGGTTCAGCAGCTCCTCACTGCTAGGACCTTTTGTTGTGGTGAGGAAGGGCTCCAGCAGTGGGGAACTGGCAGAGTCTTTCCCCACTGTTTGCGTCTTTCACTGAGGTAGGGAAGGCTCCAGCAGTGGGAAACTACACTGCTTAAAGGTGGAGGCATGGCTTGGGCAAGTAGGGAGTCGTGCAGGGCATGTACTCAAGTACATACCCACACCCTTCAAGCATTTCTTTACTCTAGTCGCCTAAACTGTGCCTCACCATCTCCACTGCTATTTATACCTCTGCTGAGGGGTTACACAGATATGAACACTACACACTGCCGAAAAAAGCCTACAGTATAGACGCACCTTCTGGGAGGGAGTTGGGGTCGGGGGGTGTTGCAGGATTTTAGTCTCAGACAACAGTGACAGCGATTTTCTATTTTTTCACACCCCATAAGCATGCATGGCATATTGTAGCTGAAGTGGCAAGACCCTTCCCCAAGAAGCTTACAGGCAGGAGTTAAGATATAACACAGCAAGGAAAGAATTAAATGTATGAGGGTTGTGAAAGGTTAAAGGCCACAAAAGTGAATGACCAAGAGATTAATGCGTCACACTAAGAACATCTTGTTAATTCCTTTTGGGCCCCTCCTTTATTATTATTATTATTATTATTTTGCTTTTTAAGTAAACAGATTAAAATTGGGCAAGTGTGAAGATGATGAACCAACTATTTAGCTTCCCTGACAAATTAAGAAGCTTACTCTAATACACTTCACTTAGCATATTTTATGGCAAAACTCCTGTTAGATTATTTCACGTGTACTCAAAAAATTGAAAGGCCTACTGTCCAATAAATAAGACTAAGAGAAGAAGCGAATAAAACCAGGAGATACAATTGTTCCTCAGTGAAGCTGTAATTTTAAAAATTTGATTAGACCTCAATAATTCCTGTTAAAAAACCTCCCATGTTATATTTCAAAGGTGTTGTTTTTTTTTAAACACAGTTGATTAGCACTTACAATATACAGAAAAAGTACACTGAATACCCTTGTTATTCTGAATCAATTTGCTGTTCTAAAAGACCATTTATTTTTAGTCTTCTGTTGACAAATAAGCAAAAAAAATATTAAAAACATTAAATATAATATCACAACTTTTTGGTCACCCATAGAAAATGAAATTGATTTCAAACCATGGAGCCCTTATCCAAATTATCTTCTAAAAAAGAATAGCCAATACAAATTTTACAATAAAAAGAGGAATTTTCTTACGCATGGGGGATTGTGGTTTTGAAGATATCCAGCATGCAGTTGCACGTTTTATCCCAGATTTCTAGGGTAAACTTTTCACCATTTAGAATGACGACATTCTCCAAACAGTTGGTACCAGATCGTGCTAGCTGTTCATTGTCTGGAATAGAAAACAGTGCATTTGTTTGTTTGTACCCAACAGGGTAAAATGTTAGCATTGTTTAATACAACTTGGTACAGTCTTACCTTGCTGCACACACCAGTACAACTGTGCAAATATATCATCCAAGAGGACATCACTAAGTACTTCTAAATACTGGGTGAATACATCACATATTGCATAAAGTGCATGATTGCAAGTAGTTGTCATCCATTCAGCTTTCTAGGAGAAAAAATAATAGCGAGGTGTGTACTACTATAAAGTTTCTAATGTATCTTATTAAGAATGCGTGAAAGTCTTATTTTAACTTGTAGGCAATTCCTGTTCATCTGTGGGGGAGCTATTGGGTATTTGTTCCATTTGCACCCCTTTCCTAATTTCTATCTTTAATCCCTACTGCTATCCCAAACTAAATTGCAACTACTATCCACAACGACATGTAATGCTGCATGGATTTGGCAGATAGGGTGGTCTAAAATCAGTCTCTCCACTTTTACCCTGCTTATTGTGAGGTTAAGAACATCAGCTTCACTAACCCACTGATAGCATAAAGGAAGAAAGCATGAAAACCTGATCCCAAGGAGAAATTAAGTAATGTAAATGTAAAGAGTACCTGATATAAGAAATGTAGCATACAGTAACTCCTTTTCTTTTTGCTACTATTTGAAAACCATGTAAATCATTAATGGATGCTAATATTAAAGTTAGTCTCACTCACATTTAGCTAACTTTTCTACATCTTAATATTTGACAAAGAAAAAGAAAATCTGGCCTTTCACAAATCAACTCTACCTATTTTCCAAAAGTAGTTGATATCTTGACCATATTTATAACCTATTATATCTGTTACCTTAGTTTAAAAAGTATATGGCACAGCTGAAATGTATGAAATAAGCAATTGCTAAATTACCAGAACCGAGATGATCTTTCTTTAATGCTTTTAAAAGCAAGTGGTACCCCCCACCACCTCAGAGGTGTGGGGGAGGGATATTGTCTGGGCCTCCAGGGAGAAGAGGGCTCTGTGGTTTCTTTCAGGATCTTTCCATTTTATCCTGCTCGCGGGAGCTCAGCTTTCTCATGGATTTGAAAGGTGGGATTACTGCTGGGGGCAGCATCCTAGCTGACTGGCTGCTTTGAGGGTTGCACTGGAAGCCCATTGGTTCCCATGTTCCAAAGGAGAGGGCACCCCACACTCCCAGCCCAGAACAACAGCTCCCACATCTGGGGTTTGGGGAGGACATCTTTGAAACTGCTGCAGATGTTGCACGAGTTGCCTTTTTAAATTGGGGAAGACATTTTATTCTCACTGCCAGAGTGACCAGCATAGGAAGAGTTTTTTGCCTTCCCTACAGCAGCTCAGGGACCTAGTGGGTAGGTTAGAAGTTGCAACTTGGCAAGTGTCCAGTGCAGGTACTCATTCGATAGGGAGTCTGGTTCCCTGATAACAGGAATTGGGAGCTAGAGGAAGGTTTCCCCTGATGAAACTAGGAATGGGATAGGAGCTCCTGAAGTCTGGTACGGAGAGGTGTCAACCTCTTTTTCTTCAGCCCCTTATAACCTTCATATGCATGCCGTGCAGTGAGATCCCAGAAATGGGCTGGAAACATGCGACAGGTACCCTCCACCAGGTGAGCAGATTATGAAAGGAAGGATTACTTGCACTGAATGGGTTACTGACGGATAGTTCCCAGATGACATCAGTTAATAAATTTGCAGCCTAGTTCAACCATATCCCCTGTGTCTGATCTTTCTTCCTGCAATTACCAATTCCTAAACCATTCTTCCAACATGCAAAATAAGGATCTATTATAACCTACTACATGGAATTATAATCCCTCACTATACAGATGTGGTTTACAATACAAATAAGAAGGAAGATCCTGAGTACGTTCAACAGAACAGTAATACAATTAATTAAGGTAGTTCTAGCAACAAGTGAAACACAAGATTCACAAGACATACGGGTGTGGCTTTATGCGTGAGGAACATTTTTTCCCCCTAGCTGTGAATCTTATGAAAATCTCTCCCCCTCAACCTCTGCCCCCCCGCTTTTTTTTTTTACCTCTGTCTGCTGTTCTGGCAGTTTCATGTTGTCAAATATCCTGAAGACAATCCTAAACAAATCCTGCCACCAGTGTTTTTCATAAGTATGGCCATATGTTTTCATTATTTCAAACATTACTGTTAAGCCCCTGCAATTAAAAAACCACACAAGTATGAGGAGCCATAAAAAGAAACACTATATGCCACAGATGTCACACTGCTACACTGATAATAATAATATTCAAAACCTGCATGAAACACATTCTATACATTGTTTTTATTTTAAAAAATGAGTGGTAAAGTCAACAGGTTAAAAAAATATATTTTTAGAAATTGAAGTGGCACCTGGAAAACAAAGCAAGCATTCATGAGCACTTCAAACTGAATAGGATTTTTAAGTTTAATTTCAAGGGATAGAAAACTGAGGGCACAAATTTCACCTGAATAAACTCTTTATAATTTTTTGTAACTTGTCAGAATTTACAGTAAAATATTATGAATGGAGGTACCCACAAGGTAAATCAGTGTATAATTTGTTTTAAAAAGTGAGCTTTTCCAAATGCTACCTGAAGCTAGGAAATATTCAAGGTGACTTGTAAAAGGAAAAAAATTGGGTTGTGTCCTTTTTGATTTTCTGTGAAGAACAGACAAGATTCTACTTATTTGTTTAATTGAGAAATTCAGGTCTCATCTTTTTTCCCACCCCAGGAAGACTAAGGATGCCTAGAGAACTGAGAATATTGTGACATGAGACACCATGTATCTGAAATCTAATTGAGAGAGAAAGTTATTTTTATTAAGATCTTTTAAAACTTTTCTAGTAACACATTTAATGTAAAAATATTCCAGAAACAGTTAAGAAGAAAGTATCTAGTAAAGATTCACCACCTCTCACCCTTTTAATTAAGGGCTGGGAATATTTCCAGTCAACGTCTTTGACCTCCAACAGGTCATACAGCACAAATAAGGAAAAGAAGCCTTCACATTTCTGATACTTTAAAATGTAAAAACAAGCATACTTTATTTTAAATACCAGGTATTTATACATTAGAAGGAGACAATACAAAGCATACAGTCCCATCTTCCTGTTCAGGTCATCTTTTAGCTACAAGCAGCAGCAACTCATTTACAAACCCTATTCCTTTCATCTATTTACACTATGAACATTAAAATTAAATGCATCCCAATAATGAGCCCTTCAAGTAAACATACAAGCATCTCTTTCAACATTTCTTGATTTTTAGGGCTGTGCCTAAATTTGGCTTTACAGTTTTCTTTCCCAGTCTTTATCACAGGTATATAGAATTATAAATTGTCAAATACAGTTGTATAAGTTATTTGTTACAGTTACTGGAATTCTACTTTTTGTTACATTTGAATCTGAGTTGTTTCCTGTTAGTGACAGTGAAGAATTAACCTCAAAAATCTAAAATATAGTTTACTTTTCTATCACATTATTTGACACACTGTAAACACACTTCCTTTACGAAAAAGGAAATCCAAATATTTCATATACATCATTAAAAATTTCAATAAATATAAAAAACACATTACAAGGGCAGACTAGCATTCAATGAAAAACAATTAGATTTGTGTGGGAAAGTACTGTATAACTTTTCTCCCTTTCAATCTCTTTCTGCAATCAATTACCAATTTGCAGACTCCATTACAATATCTGCCCTGGCTTGAAAACAGTTTGCAAATACTCAAAGAAAATATGCAAATTCAAGTATTCAACAGAAACCAGAAAAGGTTCCTATAGGATTTTGTCATAATTTTCTATTACTATTAAACCTGGTTATTACACTATTTGTTCATAGTTGTTTAACAACAACAAAATAATGGGTAAAACTGCCAGGGGAAAAAACATATTAACCTAACTAATTTCCTATTTTAACAAGAGTTCAGGGCATACTGATTGTTTACACAGTTGGCCTACTGTGTCAAAATTAAAACGGAATGATTCTGACTAATTTACAACCTCTAACATATGGAGAGAAAGTTACTGTTTTACTTTTACTGAACAGGCACTAAAATCAGCACTGGGTTTGACTATCACAGACTTTAAGAGAGAAAGACATACAATAGAAGCCCATATCATAATGTCAAGTATTTCACCTATTGTATGATAATTCTAAAAGCATGTATCCATGTTCAATGGATCTTCATCAACTTAAGTAACAAAACTAACTTAAGTCAAAAGTTTCTTCAGAGAAAAAACAAGATTTTTTTAAATTAACGTTTCAGCATGTTTAAAATGTATTTATAGCACTTGCCTATCCTCCCAAAGTGATAGCAATTAAATCAAATATACAAGTTTCTGATTTTAGTCAGATCAGTTATGTTTGCCAACAGACAATTACCTCCATCTGTTTTAAAAACCTTTTAAAGGCTCATAAACAAGAAAAACAAACCACTTGAAAATTTAAATTACAAATACTGATTGTTACCTGGTTCTTACATCTAATTTGCATCTATTGATGATACAGGATAACTCAAAGAGAATTGGGAACCATCCTCTCACCCACACCCTGTCTTCAGGAGCTACATTCATATCATCACTTGTGTATTCCTTGAAAGCCTTGAGAAGCAAATACAGGATTAATGTAGCAGAAGCATAGTATCATTTACAAGTTATAAACTTACTATTTTGGTGGAAGGTAGAAGTACTAAGATAATATTAGAGTAAATGTATTAACTAAAGCACAATTTAAGTACTGTTATGGATATTATATTAGAAAAATTGTATTCAATATTTTACAATCTGGTATTAAGGTTTATAAATGATACCACAAAATATGGCAATAAAATTTACCTTAGGAGCTATACTATGGTCAAGGTAATCTAAATGTTTTTTAAAATTATTCTTATAAAGGTATGAAAAACAGATTTTGCAAAAAACAACTGCCTACTCAGCCACCATTTGTAACTTTTAATTTAACCTCTCAGTCTCCTATTCTGTCCTACAGAGACATCCTTGAGGATAATAATATTTTTTTAAATTGACACCTATACCTATGCCACTATAGCAGGGGTCGGCAACCTTCGGCATGCAGCCCATCAGGGTAATCCGCTGGCAGGCCGCGAGACTTTATGTTGACCGTCCACAGGCACGGCCCCCTGCAGCTCCCAGTAGCTGCAGTTCGCTGTTCCCAGCCAATGGGAGCTGCGGGAAGTGGCGGTGAGCACATCCCTGTGGCCCACTGCTTCCCACAGCTTACTCTGATGGGCCACGTGCCGAAGGTTGCCGACCCCTGCACTATAGGTATGTTAGCAAAGGGTGCTCCCAGCATAGGAACAGATACTGAGAAGTTCCAAGCCCCAACAGCTCTCATTGAAGGTCCCAAGAAAATTAACCAACACGAAGTGCAACTTGTTCAAAGCCTACATCAAGATGTTTATAAACAAATGTGCAGCCCATGCCCTCTCCTGGACTTTAAAGTCCCTCGTAGAATTTAAAGCCAAATTTTTAAAGCTGGTACAACTGCACATTTTTATGTTATGAAAGTATTATTAATTTAAACACTTATGATTTAACAAGTATGGTTTATACCTGAGGTCTGTCTGATACATATTTTGCACAATGGCGAATGAGGCGGATTGCTTCCATGCTTGTGTCTGGAAAAGCTGCATTGCATGCAAATTCAGACAAACATTTTACTGCATCCTGGAAAGAATCTATGGTAGCTGGGAAGTGTTTTTCAAATACAATTGCTGGAAAAAATACATATATATTAAAATTAACACATGGGTCCTTCAAACATTTTCAAACAAAATGTCAATTGTCCCCTAAAATAATTTTTAAAAGACCAAGATGCGAATCTAGCATAGGAAAAAGGGAAGACAAAAGTGAGACAAATGGCTGAAGAGATTTGTGTCACTCCTTGGTTCTGTTAAATGTGTAATTATTACAAAAACCAAAAATATTCTGTTAAGAATTCATACAGAGGGCACTGTATTCTTATAATATATTTTAATTTCACACCCATTCACTGATATAGTCTTCTAAAGCAATGAAAGCCCACAATTAAATGAGTTAAGGCTTGATATTTAGCACTATCTATATTTAAACACATTTTTACTAAGAGCTGAACAGCATCCCCCAGGACGAGCTACAGCATCAGGAATCAGTTGTAGGCCTTTCCCCCACCCCATATTTGTGGTTCAATTCTATTGGCTTTACATATTCACACTTGAGTTGTGAATCACAGAGCTTTGAGAACTTTCTTGAAAGACTGCCTGTTGCGGCTGCACAAGCGATCCCTTTTGGCATTGAAAGCTTGGAGACAAGACAATAAAAGATCATACAGTCCCAACTGCTTCACTTCCTTCTTTTAAAACAGAGCCCTAGGCCAGAACTCAGAGAGCAAAGGGAAGGTGTGCAGGTAATGTGATTATGCAACATACTTGAAGAAATATATCTGAAAATTTTAAATTCACAATCAAAAATGAAAAAGTATAACTTGTTTAAAAAATTCATTCTCTCTCAATAGTTGACTTTTCAGTCTAGAATAAATGTTTATAGCTCTATCATAAAACTTATGTGTAGAGTACAAAGACAAATATGTTACTTTATTACTTTTTGAAGTATATATTCTCAGTAAACTACAAATTTTTAAAAAAGCAGTAAAAACAGAGAAATATTGTTTTAACATGTATTTAGGAGAGTTCTGCTAGGCAAATAATAAAATTAGAGCAAACTGAAAAGAACAATGAGCTATTATTCATTTGCTTCCATATACCCCGTAGTGATATCTGTAAATTATGCATCAGTACTTACTGACAATGTGCCCTGTAGTTTGAAATGCAAGTTCCACTATACTTTCATCCTGATCTGATGCAGCCAAATGAAACACTGAAAATATATTCTTCCAACCTGAGCGAATGTTGGCAGCTTGAGAGTTTACCATCTGTGCTATGCACCGTACAACCATGTCTCGAATGGTAGGAGACCTAAATTATAAACAAAATGTTAATAAATAGTAACTGAAGCTACTGTACTGATTAAAAAACAGAACTTTTCTAAGGACCAATTTCATTTTACAGAAGCAATTCAAACAAAATAACTGATTCCAGAAGCTGGTGGTTATGTTCCCAAGTGATTCAGTTAACTGCACAATTACCTGTTTCTCTTCATTATGTGTTCAAACGGCCTCAAGAAATCCTTCTGGAATCGGAAATTAGCAAGTTCTCCTTTTTCTAAGAATTTCATTGATAACTGCCTTAAGGAATCTACTGCAAAAATAGCTACATCTTCATTCGGATTGCAGCCAACCTAGGAATGTAGAAGTAGAAACACATGTTGGCATTAAAACTGCATTTTAAGAAATTAGTCTGAATTGTCTTTACATTTGAAGATGGAAACGGAAGAGCAGAAATCACAAATTCAGAAGCGAAACTTAAGATACAAAGTTAAAAACACATTATTAATTTAATCAATTCCTACCAGCAGCATGGCTCAGTACTTTACCAAATAAGTTTCTCACTTCCTAACCTATCCAACTTGTATTTTGAAGAACACATCCCAACTTTTAGAGCTCTCTAAAGATAAACAAATGAGCTCATTAGAGCTACTTCACGAGTCAAAATGATAATACAGCGGACCCTTGCTAGAACGCGTGTCTATATAACGCGAATTTGCTTATAGCGTGGGACCGCGCATGGATCCCAAATTTAATTACCTTCATTGGAATCCATGGTAACGCAGTCCCCGCGTTAACGCGGGACCGCGCATGGATCCAAAACCCCATGTTCTAGCGAAGGTCTGATGTATTAAAAAACACAGAAGACAAATAAGACATTTAATTTAGAACAACAGATTAACTCAATTACTGCAAACAGCCAAAGCTGAGTTAAGAAACACAAAACACTTTTTACAACACCCAATGACGGCATATTACCTCCTACAGCAGCCATTTTTAGATCTATACGATGATTAGGGCCCTACCAAAGTCACTGTCCATTTTAGTCAATTTCACAGTCACAGGATTTTAAAAATCGTAAACTTCATGATTTCAGCTATTTAAATCTGAAATTTCACGGTGTTGTAATTGTAGGGGTTCTGACCCAAAAAGGACTTGTGGGGGGATCGCAAGGTTATTGGGGGAGCGTGTGTGTGTGGGGGGTGTCGCAAGGATATTGTAAGGGGGGTTGCAGTACTGCTACCCTTACTTCTGTGCTGCTGCTGGCAGTGGCGCTGCCTTCAGAGTGGGCAGCTGGAGAGCGGCAGCTGCTGGCCGGGAGCCCAGCTCTGAAGGCAGAGCCGCCACCAGCAGCAGCGCAGAATGAAGGATGGCATGGGTATGGTATTGCCACCCTTACTTCTAGGCTGATGCATGCAGAGCTGGGTCCTCAGTCAGCCACTCTCCGGCCACCCAGTTCTCAAGGCAGCAGTGCAGAAGTAAGGCTGGCAATACCATACCATGCCATCCTTACTTCTGCGCTGCTGCTGACGGTGGCTCTGTCTTCAGAGCTGGTATGGTATGGTTTTGCCACCCTTACTTTTGCGCTGCCTTCAGAGCTGGGCGGCCGGAGAGTGGCGTCTATTGGCCGGGCACCCAGTTCTGAAGGCAGCGCCCCGCCAGCAGCAGCACAGAAGTAAGGGTGGCAATACCACGACCCCCCTAAAATAACCTTGTGACTCCCCTGCAACTCCCTTTTGGGTCAGGACCTCCAATTTGAGAAAGATGATCTCCCCCATGAAATCTATTAAGTAGAGGGAAAAAGCACACAAAAGACCAGATTTCACATGGGAACACCAGATTTCATGGTCCGTGATGCGTTTTTCATGGCCGTGAATTTGGTAGGGCCCTAACCATGATTAACAAGTTGGCCAATTTATACCACTGCCTTTGCATTTAGTACAGAATATATCAGCCTTCTGAACAGAGAATAACTAGCCAGGTTCAAATATGGGTTCAACAGAGCAATATAGATGGCTTTAGCCCTTCTACCGTAGATTTTGTATTCTTTTTCTTCTTTAGTGCTCTATTTCTATCTATTCTAAAGGATAGTCAGTTAGAACTGAATTTAGGTGTAAAATTTTTCAAAATTTAGTTTTGAAAGGGTTTTAAATAGATAGGAATCATCATTTTCTGATTGTGTGAGCAATTCAAATGGTGTAATGATTAGCAAACATACCTTATTAAAATGATCTCCAATAACTTCCCAGATTCTAGACCACTGTAGTCTTATCCGACCCATGTTATAGTAAGAAATTTCTACTATCTTCTGCAGACTAAACATTCGAGGATGGGTAGCAGACAGCAGTTCATCCATAGATACGGCACAAAGCCAACGAACAAAATCCACTGTTAAACGATCAGAATTCATTTAGTATTCTTTCCAAGCTTTATCAGAAAGCTACTTTGTAGATTAAGATAAAAAGTGATAAAACTTACCAATAGCATTTCCATCCAGTCTTGTAGATCCTGTAAATATTCTGAAAAAAATCCACAATTTATAAGACTTTATTTTTTTTAAAAGTGGCTTCTTTTACAAAAAATAATTTATACCACAAATATTTTGCTACTGTGTTATTGCCCAAAACAGATTTCTAGCTATGACAAAATCGAACTGCCTTAAATACAGCATTTAAGACTTGACAGGTAAATTCTCAAAATCTGGAACACTACCAAAAATGTGAATCATGATTTACTATACTTAGTAAGATTTTAGAACTGCTGTCCCTCAGCGAACTTCAAGAGAAGGTAAAGTACACCAAGAAAAGCAGCATTTTAAATATATAAATCAGAAAGTACTTTTCATTATGCCAGAAAGATTTGGGTCAATATTCAACATTTACAAATGACACCATATGATATAATGTTGACCAAAGTATCTGGTCATAGCAAATACCCACAACTGACAACAGTCTTGTGTATTATGCCTAAATCCTAGGGACTCTTGCAGTCCTTGAAAGGAATACCACTTTGAAATACAGCTATCAATTTTGACAACTATTTAAACACTGGGGGCCTCAGACGTCTCCATATAAAACAGCAAGATTTATGAAAGGTTCCTTCTGATCCAGTTTTGAAAATAAAAACCAACATACTCCTGTAAGATTCCACTTTACTTTTAGGGAAAAACTAGAACGGTAGTAAATATCAAAGACAGCATTCTTATAGATGAGTACTAGTCAGGGGGGAAATGGAAGGATGCAGTCATTGGGTAGAGAAGGAAAAGTGTTTAGTGTCAGTAGTTCTCTCTCTCTCCATAAAGGAGACAAAAATCTATACATTTTAACTGAAGTATTTATTCTTAAATTTATATAGAGAATCAAGATGGACCACACTTTGTACAGCAACAGCAGCTTCTTTTACACCCCTCAGTTTTCCCCCTGCAGTTATTACTAAATATTTGTAAACAGTTTCTGCTTCTCTTTTCCCTACCTTCCTTCTACCTTCTGCTATGATGAGCAACTCCTGCTGTGCAATAACACAAAAACAAAATAAAACAAAAACAAGCACCTTGTGACACTGCAATATGGTGATGCAGATATAGCATTTTTGTAATTACTGAGAAACCAAATAACCTACTTATTTTTTCTGTCACTAATTGAATCTACTGTATTTGCATACTGTGAAAAGTTCATGAGGTATCCAACTGGAAGGAAGTTAAATACTGTACCTGTCTACAGCAACAACAACACTTTGGGAACTAGTTTCTCCAATGGATTCCTGAATACTCGCTATCTGCTTCCAGTCCACATTTCCTCCAACTATGGGGAACAATTAAAAAAAGAAAAGGGAGGGGAGAGGAGGACAGAGAGGAAAGTATTTATGTCAGTATCAAAAGAATTGAATATATTTGTATTTATGATGAAGGCAAGTAGACCAATTTTTTCCTCACCTGTTAAATTGGACATCTCATGGAGTTGGGGTTGCTCCCCCAAACTTGCTTCAAGAAAATTCTCTCTCCAGATTCCACTTCTGTTGTAACCAAAACTCACAGAAAATACTTCCAAAGATGCAAAAAACATGAAGAGTCCTATGGGATTTTAAAGTTACCTTTTCTGGTTTTTGCATCTTTGGAAGTATTCTCAGGAAGTTTTGGTGCTGAAACTGGATAATTAGTAATAGCGTCTGGTGCCTGGAGAGAGAATTTGCATATTCTACCAGGAGCAAGTGAACAGAGCTATCAGGATTGGTTAAGGGCTACTCCATGTGAATGATGAAAAACTAATCCCTGAAGGCAATGTCCCTAACAAGTACACCATATCTACCACCATAAAATACAGAGAAAAATAACTACAAATAAATGAAAATACTTATTTTGAGAGCTGGAAACTATGGCCAAGATTTTTTTAAAATCAGCCCCTAAATTAAGGTTCCTAAATCCACATTTAGGGAAGTTTCTGAAAATCCTGGTCAAAACCAATAAAAACCAGAAACATTGAATTAATATTGCCATGGTGTCTTATTAAGGACACTACTCTTAGGCACTGCAACACACAGAGAGTGTTGAATTGTTCTAAAATAATCTATTAGAAAAAGGAGCAGAGTAGAGTCAGAGTTCCAAGGCCAGAAGGGATCACACCAGATCATATAGTCTGACCTCCTGTATATCACAGACCACACAGCACCCCCCACACTAAATCCAACAACTAAAACTAGACAAAATATTACAGCCCACAGCAGACTAAACTATTATGGGCAACATGTGGAGAACAGGAGGGCCTGAACTGCACCAGTACCCACAGTAGAGTATTCAATGAAAGCCAAATTTTTCAAGTTTTAGAATTTGGCAAACAGAAAATTATTTACCAGATATGTTTTTCTCTTGAGTCTCCCAAAAATTTGTCACTTGGGGGTTTCCCCTCTATGCCAAGAAAGTAGAGGCAATTCAACCGTAATAGCTTACCCATTTGGTTCCTCACTCTTCCAAAACTGAACAAGAAGCTGTAGCAAATTCTTATGTGAATATTAATTTCTTAATTTTCTATTTTAAAAAAAATATGTATATCACCCTCACTAGCTTGCAGAAACTAAGGCCTGGTCTACACTAACACCCCAATTCGATCTAAGGTACGCAACTTCAGCTACGTGAATAACGTAGCTGAAGTCGACATACCTTAGTTCGAATTTACCGCGGTTCAGACGCGGTCCACACGCGGCAGGCAGGCTCCCCCGTCGACTCCGCGGTACTCCTCTCGCTGAGGTGGAGTACCGCAGTCGACGGCGAGCACTTCCTGGTTCGAATTATCGCGTCCAGACCAGACGCGATAAATCGAACCCGGAAGTTCGATTGCCAGCCGTCGAACTACCGCGGTAGTGTAGACATACCCTAAGTGATTTATTTGTATTAGTGAAATTGATGTAGGTCCAGATTGAGAGAGATCATAATGAAAGAAAGAAAAAGATCAGGCAATATTTTCTATTCTTTCCAAAATGGTCTCCCCTCAATCTGTCACAGAGGAAGGAGTAAAACAATAAATAGATGAAGTGATGAGGGAAAAACAAAAGTAGTGAGAAAATAATATGGAAAACAAGGATTGCATGTTTCGCTTAGGAAAAAACAGAGTTTATTTTGAGACCACTTAATTTCTTTAAGGTTTATTTTCCTCTGAAAGGATGTGTCTGCTGTGATAATTGTGACGAGGTGGACATTCAAGACCAGGTGGCTGCTTTACAAAATTCCTTCAGCTGAGGCTCTTGTTATGCATATAGTATGCTTTTCAACAGTGGTTTGACAGCAAGTACACAAGCTTCTACAATGCAATACCTGATCCAGTTAGAGATGGAGAATTTAGAAGTTTTGGCTTCTAATAATTTTGGATGAAAAGCTTAAGCGACAATGGGGACTAACCAACCCAGTGATTCAAAAGGGAGTAGAGAAGGCTTTAAAAGAAACAAGTTTACGTCCTATGGTGGAGAAAGTTTTGGATGGTGGCTTGACTTGTTTTGCTGCCTCCAGGAGTCTTAAAATGTGGGGGAGCAATACCAGGGAAAAATCTCTACAATAAATTTGGAACCTTCTATGTTAAGGATGTGAATCTCTAAAGAGCATATACTTCGATATACACATACTTTAGTGATACAAAAGAACTACAGGACTGGAATTCTAAAAATCTTTGAATCAGGTCACTGGCCATGTCCCTAAACCAACTGAAGTATTAACTCCAGATTACAGAGTAGCCTTTCAGGGTAGTCAGTTCTCTGGACGTTGCAAGTGTTTCAGCCACTTTGAGAACTTGATTTGGTCAGAACTTTCCGTTTCAACATGGAGGCTGTCAGGTTTGATTAGCTTGGATTTGGGTGTTATAGAAGTCTCTTAGTGAGGAGATACAACCTGTTAAGAAGCTCTGGATGAGGTAGCAGGAACATCTCTGTCAGGTCAGAGAACCCTGTCCTCCTCTGGCACTTTGTTGTTGGATTTCTCCTTTTTAATACGGAACTTGTGGCATAAATTGTTGGTGGAAAAGAGTATGGAATGCAGTTCCAGGAACGAGGCACATCATCAATTCCAAAAGTTATAAGGTCTCTTTTCCGACAGAAGTGCAGTCTCATCTTCGCAGTTCAACTTGATGGAAAGAGCTTACCTTCTGGGAGTCTCAATGTGCCCATTATTCAGAACAGAACTTTGTTTGCACAACCCCTTCACTTGATTTATTGCTTACCTGCTGAGCCAGTCACCTTCCCTTTGTATATGTCTTTGTGAATACAAATTGAAAGGATAGAGGATGTTTGACCCAGGTGAAGGATATGCAGTGCCTCCCTGTGAAGGGATAAGCTTCCCATTCCTGTTTATTAATGTACAGTATGTTACTGTTGCATTGTCTGACATGATCTGGACATGGATTTAAGGGAGGCTTTCTTGGAAAGGCTACCTGGGCTAATCTGGTAGCACTTCATTCTGGCAGATGGATGTTCCTTTTCAAATCCATGCCACACATTAAGTGACCCAAATGTAATGCCTGAATTGATCACTTTACTGCCTGGTAGGATGCGGATGTGGAGTCCCTATCATACGTAACCTTTGCCCTTTGATTCCACTAATGGAGAGAGGATAGTACAGATTGTGGAAATACAGTTCTCCATGTCTGCAGATGGAATCACTGCATGTGCCACTATGATCAGAGTGTGATCCCAATACAAGAGACCATGATCTTTGGAGTTATAGTAAGAAAAGGATTAACGAAAGGTTGGCCCTTTAAATCTAATATAAAATGTAGCTTTTGAACTGATCTTCTGTGAAAAAAACTATGACCTATAATGAACCTGTCTGTATTCATGCAGAACTAGGACAGTGAAAACCTGCCCCTCAGAAGAAAAAGTGATTATGGCTCTACTGTATATTCTTCATAGTAAGGAAATGATCAGGAAGAGCCTGGGCTGTTCTAGACCTCAAGAGGCTGAACAGGTCCATGCAAAAAGAAATTTATTCAGAGCAGAACTCTCCTTACTCAGGAGGCCTTTTCAGACAGAAAACCCAGGAGGTGATCGGTTTACTCCATTTGACCTGGACTGCCATGATGCGAGAAGAGGAACATGAAGAGAAAGCTCAGTGGATGGTCCCACTTGACAAACAAAGCACAAGAAATTTGCCACCTCTCTCTCTCCCCCAAAGGGCAGAGGAAAAAAAAAAAAGAGAGAGAGAGAGAGAGAGAGAGAGAAAAGGTTTTGCCTACTGTTGCCCCAAAATAAGCATTACAAATCATGACACTAATGGATAGGGCAGGAAAACTTAACTGCCACTCTGTTTGCACAGCAGGATGCAGAGATTGTGTCACAAGAGCAAAAGGGGTATTTGCCTCTGGTATTTGCAAGAATGAGGTTCAGTTCAAAACGTGCTGGGCTGGAGGGAAGAGGTCAGCCTACAGAAAAATTCTTCTAGTTGATTCTTGTCAGAACCACCTGCCTTGGGAATGTTCTCCTTTCATAAAGGAAGTGTTGGGGGAAAAAAACCACAATTGTTAAACTTCTAGGATTTATTAATAAAAAAAACCACACATGTCCATACATGCATACTGTGGTGCAATTTTTAATTTTAGACTTTTTTGTGGGTTACCACAGTTCTCACCTAGAAGGGAGAAACTTTTCTTAGAGGAGAAACACATTACTCCAACTTGGGAATTCATTCTGCACTCATCCACAGATAAGGAAGATTGAGAGTCTCTACAGTATCTTATTTCTGAGTTCTGCATGGGATTAAGAGGACTCAGAACTCCCAACTTTTCTCCAAGGATATGGCAGAGTATTTTCAGTTTCTGTTTACTTTTAAACTTCTTTTCCTAAATCTAAATCTTTTATCACTTACTCCACTGGGGAGGCTGATGGAGGAGCCTGATGGAGGTCGTTCCCCGCCCCCCGCAATGCAGCTGGTGCCGTGGGCTCCCTCCCGCCCCTAAGATTCAATCAGGGATATTTATGGTATAAGTCATGGACAGGTCATGGGCTGTGAGTTTTTATTTCTTGCCCATGACCTGTCCATGACTTTTACTAAAAATACCTGTGATTAAATCGTAGCCTTAGACATGAGTATTTTTCCTTGAAAAAAAACTATGCCTGTATAGATGTGCATACATACTAGAATATTGAACAGGAAGAATACTGCTGGAAAGCAGTAATGTCAGAAGAGACCTTGAGTGACTGTGGAAAGCAAATTAAAATGCAAGTTTGCAGTGTAAGAGAATAAAACCAAAATAAAGGTAAATTGATTTGAACTTGCATGCTTCAAGAGTGGACTATCTTGGGCAGTGAAGCTGTAAACTCTCTTTTACAGGGACTAGAATACTGTGTACCTCAACAACAGCAAAACCCATAGCAGCGTGGGGAGAGTGGATGGAGACAGGTCACAAAGGGAGCCAGGGAAAAGGATTGGCTGAGGAGTCAGGGCTGATATTGAGCTATGGAATAGACTGGGACGACAGCCCTCAGACCCTTGGCTGGGGAGCAATGCCAGGGAGCTAGTAACAGAATCATAACTGCTCCAGGAAAAGTGTTGCATGACAGAGAAATCTTTAGCCAAGACTCAAGCTTTCACCAGACAGTGTGGAAAGCTGTTCTCATGAAGCAAGAGGGAGTCTGGCATCATATTAAAATCAGATTTAGAAAAATCGAACGTTTCTGTTTAATGGTCTGCCTGGGTGCGTGAGAAAGAAAACTGGGCATTGTAGTGAGTGCCAGAATTGTATCTACAACCTTCATTTGTTTCCATGGATTTACTGTTGCATTACTCCCCACTCTCAAACACATTTCTTGAACTGCAACCTTAATTTTAATTTAGATTTTTTTGTATATTTGTTTGGTTTTGGTTGTTTTTTGTTTGTTTGTTATGGAATGGGTGTGAATTCAAGAAAGTTTTATTTTCAATTATATAAAAATGTTCCAACATGTTGCTTTTAACGGTTTTATTTATCTAATCTTGAAGATGGCACATCTTTTAAAAAATTACCAGTTTGTCTAATTAATCAGAAATATAACATCCACTTTTTATCATAAAGTAAAAATAAAATATCTCACTGATGGAATGAAGTTTGGCTCTCAAAACTTTACCTTTTCTATAACAAAGTAGCCACTTAAGCAGGTAACAGATTAAGATAAATAATTTAAACCAAGTTTTAAACTAATCATTTAAATCATTGTAATTTAAACCAATCCACCTTGCATATTTCTCACAAAAGTCCACAGGGTTCACCAATCAATCTACATTCATAAATCTACACCCCAATTTTATTTGTATGCAAGTTTGGCAAAACAGACATATATTTGGTACAGCGAATTAGCAATATTGCTCAATCTAGCAACACAATACCTTTAGTATGAAGTACTTTTGTGATCAACTACATTTTAATTTCCTCTAAGAAATTACTATAATATTAATAGATATTGCATTGAAGCCATTTTATTCCATTTCCCACCCTGTATCCCCCACAAAGTGACAATAAATCAATAAAAAGTATTCTTAAAAATATTTGAGTAAATATCTCAATCACAGTCCTGCATTTGTATTAGCAACAGCAGAAATGTTTTTAATAAATAAGAATTAAAATGACTTTTTTCCATAATTATGCCTCACTTCAATAAAAAAAGCCACTGGCAACCACAAGCTGAGAACTTTATTCAAATATTATACGTCCATACGAAGCTGGATAACTAAAATACTTGGAGCAGTCATATTACTCACCTAATCCCAGGCCCACAAATTCATCAGGTGCCTGATCCTTTGTTCCAGTAAAAGAACCTTCCCTGCCTCTCACTGTCCCAGAGATGTAACGTGGTTTTACTCCAGTTCCTATTAATTGTGCCAGCTCAAGTTGACTAATACATTTCAGAATCTAAATTAACACAAAACACAGAAACCACTTAACAGTGAGAAGTGGATTTTAAAAATATTTAATATCCCTGTTCACTTTTATAAAATTCTTTATGAACGGGCAGATTGCAGGGTTTTCAAAAATAAAATTCTCATTTACACGCATACATACTACACACCCAGACTATATGTGTACACACCTACTCTATATACATACATACATAGCACATACATACTCAAAACCCACTGTACTCCTGAGGGAATTGTGCGCCGGGAAATGGACTTGGCGGTGAGGCTGCACCCAACCCTGACACAGCGCAAGGGCTTGACCCTCCCCAGAAACAGCCTGGGGCCCTGGCACACCAGGTGTGGACAGGCAGGCTCAGCCCAGCAGGATCAAAGTGTGGAGGAGCTTTGTGTGTGGGGGGGATCCAGATGTGGGGTGAGGGGGTTCTTTTTGAGGCAGTCTGGGTGCAGGTGGGTCCAGGGGAGAATCTGGATATACAGGGGCTTGTTGGTGGGGAAGGGAGAGGGGGAATTCTGGTTGCAGGGGCAAAGGGACTCTGCAGAGGGGGCCCAAGTGAAGGTGGTTGGGGCTCAGTCGGGGGGTCTGGGTGTTGGGGGATGGGGCTTGGCAGGGGGTTCTGGGTGTTGGGGGCTCAGCAGGAGGTCCTGGTGCTGATGGAGTAGGGCTTTGTGGGGTGGGGCTCCAGGTGAGGGGGGCTTCTAGGGATGGTCCCCATGCATAGGGGGTGGGGTTCATTGGGAGGGGGGAATCCAGTGTGGTTGGCTCAGCATGGGGTGGTCTGGGTCCAGGGATGGAGGTTCGGATGCAGGAGGGGTCCGGGTGCAGGGGGTGGTCTGGGAGCAGAGGGGGATCCAGGTGTGTGTGTGTGTGTGTGTGTGTGTGTGTGTGTGTGTGTGTGTGGGCTCAGCGGGGTGTGGTCTGGGTGCAAGGATGGGGGTCCGGACGCAGGCGGGTATGGCTCAGCCAGGGTTCTGGGGCTGGGGGAGGGGGGGGATGGGCTCAGCGGAGTTGTGTGTCTGGGTGTGGGAGCATCCAGATGCATGGGGGTTGGGTGGACAAGGGAGCAGCTTTCCACTGCGGCTAAGGAGTGATGGGGCAGGGTGCGGAGCCAAGGGAGATTTATGGGGGTGGGTCTGATCCAGTCCTCACCACTTCATGCAGGGGAAGTGTGCTCCTCACCCACCCCCAGCCCTGCCAGGACTACCAGCTGCTGGGTGCAGGGAGGTGGCACTTGGAGTGCGTGCATGCGTCTCTGGGTGCAGGGGGTTGCGGATGAGGCTCGGTACAGTGGAGGTTCAGGGGCAAGGGAGTGAGGCTTGGTGGGGGGTCTGGGTATGGATGCACTGAGGTTGAGCAGATGGGGGGTGGGTGTGACCAAGCCCCCTCCCCCACCGCAGTGATTTACCTCTTCACTGGCTGCTCCATGCGACCTAAACAATGCACCTGCACTGCTGGGGAGGGGCATGTGGCTGCTCTTGCAGCTCCAATTTGCATCCCCATCAGAAAGTCATTTTTCTGCAGGGAAGCAAAGAAATCTGTGGAGGACATGAATTCTGCATGTGTGCAGTGGCACAAAATTCCCCCAGGAGTAACACTGTATACAAAATCAATGTATTTTCATGTACATACTTTCTTATAGTTAAGAATGAACTACTCTTGTACCTCATGCCAGGAATTTCCTAAATAGTTTCCATCTGTATGAGCCACTGTGATGAGTGTTTTTATTGTGTCAATGTTCTTCTGTTTCATTTCAGTTATACCAGAACTCACTGTAAGCAAGGTAAATCTTGCTAGTGCTTGGACATAAGCATCTCTTTCAAGCTACAGAGGGAAACAAAAATGAGTTGTTTCTGTTAGTTTACATAACTTGTCAATGTCTAAATATCTTTTGGTTCCTTTACGGATTATGGAGGCATTTGGACATTAATTTTTATTTTGAAATCATATCTCTTATAATAATCCTATGTCCACATAGGAATGAACCAAATATATTAATACATTTGAAAAGTGAGTTAGGAATATAGCACCAGATGTTAGTTCTGTATGCCTACTCTTTGAATAATTGAATGCACCACCCATCTATGCAGTAATATGAGCTGTTTGGTTTATACGGCCCATATCCCTAGCTTACCCTACATTAACATAGATTTCAACCTCAAATAGCTGGTTGCAAGACCTCAATGGCAACTACACTGAAAAGTAGGGAGACATTACAGTCATGAAATTAAATACTGATTGTTGCTAAACTCATCTACAAAATCTCTTAGCTTACTGAAACTTAAAGACAGTGGAGTTTTCAATGAGGACCTATATGTTACTGAAAAAAATAAGGTAGGTTTCATACAGTTGAATTTCAAAGCATTATATTAACTTAAAGCATCCCTCTCTCTTTCTCTAATGAGCTATGGGATAAGGCTCTCCTTGTAAAACTGTAAACCTGGGAAGGTAAGGTGTCACATGTAGCAGTCTAAAGCATGTAGTTTTTAGTAATTTCTTCTGAAACCAGACACTACATTTTGTATTTCAAGTTAAGATAAACAAATATTCAAGACATCCCACCAGATGAGAGATGCACTCTCTGTAAAAAACTGTAAGGGAAAAAAAGATACGACTCCCCAGCAGCCTCTCCCCAGTTGAGAGATACTATTGCCCATGCCCAAGTGCTGCCTTGCCATGATCTGCTGACAGACTTTCACCAGAACAAGTCCTCAGAGAGAGGATCTAAGAGATATTTATTAATTGAAGGCAGAGACGTACATTATGTATCTGTGTGTTCAGAAAAAGAACTACACCGCTACCTTGATATAACGCCACCCGATATAACACAAATTCGGATATAATGCGGTAAGATTTTTTGGCTCCCGAGGACAGCGTTATATCGAGGTAGAGGTGTACTATAAAATGAACTTGTTATAACCCAATTCCTGAGCTCTAGAACATCTGAGTATAGGAGCAACTCTTCCTGGGTAGGTGAGTGACTGACCTACCTTACATGCAAACAGAGTAGAGCTAGAAAGTACAAGAGAAGGGGTTTCTACATGTGTATAACTGATGTGTGTGGATGGCTTATTCATGTAGAAGCCAAAGGCCAGAAACTACTTTCTTTGGAAAAGGAAGCTCATTACAATTCCATTTCTCATATGAACCTATTGCAGGAAATAACTATGAGGAGATTAGAATTGATTTCACAATGAGTATTTGTGGTTATAGCTCCTGGAAAGAGGGTGTCTTATAAATCTGATTTGGATAATACCGGAGGACATATCTTTTCCCTTTATCTTTTATATAAAACATGGACCTAGCCTGCAGAATTCCATCTCTGCAAAGTCAAGAAATAGATATTAATTACAAAATGCAGCAAGCTGTTTGGGAATTTATAAGGCAGGTTTTTAAATAAAAGTTAAAGAGCAAAAGACCGGGAATAAAATGAGCTACAAGCAGAACAGACATCCATTTTGTTGGGTATAATCTAGTATCTTTTCTGTATTTGTGAAAATCCGCAGCAATGGCCAATTGGTAGCAAACAGAAATTCTGTGTGGGTTGCAAGGTTTATAAAAATTCCAGTATATATGAAGTCTAAGGACTTACTGCTAAGTTATTTTATGTAGAAAATACTAGCAGCAGTATCAGACCCTTGTATAGCTAAATTTCCTAAATTTCCAGCAGATCAAGGGAAGTGATTATTCCCCTTTATGCGGCACTGGTGAGGCCACATCCTGCGTAGAATTTTGGGCCCACCACTTCAGAAAGGATGTGGACAAATTGGAGAGAGTCCAGTGGAGGGCAACGAAAATGATTAGGGGGCTGGGGCACATGACTTATGAGGAGAGGCTGAGGGACCTGGGCTTTTTAGTCTGCAGAAAAGAAGAGAGTGAGGGGATTTGATAGCAGCCTTCAACTACCTGAAGGGGGGTTCCAAAGAGGAGGGAGCTAGACTGCTCTCAGTGGTGGCAGATGACAGAACAAGGAGCAATGGTCTCAAGTTGCAGTGTGGGAGGTCTAGGTTGGATATTAGGAAAAACTATTTCACTAGGAGGGTGATGAAGAACTGGAATGGGTTACCTAGGGAGGTGTTTTTTTAAGGCCTTGCTTGACAAAGCCTTGGCTAGGATGATTTAGTTGGGGATTGGTCCTGCTTTGAGAAGGGGGTTGGACTAGATGACCTCCTGAGGTCTCTTCCAACCCTGATCTTTTATTATTCGGTATAAGATATGGAGTGAAAGCCCCAAGACAGACTTGTGTTACAGCATCAGATTCACTTTAAAACCACAATAATGAAAAAAAAAAACAGATTTTAAAAATGAGATTTTATTGTGCTCAGAGGTGAGGCTGCATGGCTCACAGAACTGTACTGTGCTGTGCAGGAAAAATCCATAAAATCAGAGAGACCCTTCCAGCTATCAATGTTATGATTTTATCGTGATGCATAAAATACTGACTGTTCCTAGAAAGTGGTCTTGGGTAATAACCCATCTATAATTCTTCAACAAGACTGACACATAACATGAGAGCACCAGTAGGAAGGTGGGAGAAAAATTTAGCATGGAACAGACAACATATTTCTTCTCAAAAATTCTTATAAGGGAAATTTACCAACCATCCCTACATCCCCAAATAGTCGTGTGTCCAAAATGGGCAATACTTATCAGAATCTTGCACAACAGGAACTTCCTAGTCTAAACAAGAGAAATAAGCACAGTATCTTAGAGATCAATGAGTGGTAATTGTTGGCAAGCCATAATTATTTTAATGGCAACCAAGATACAGAACTCTCAAGAACCTGAAGGTAATATCATGGTCCTCACTTAAGAGGGAAAAGAAGCAAAAAGCAATACATTTTCCTTTGAGACTGAGGATCAATCATCCAGAAAAATAAGCAGAAAGCCCTGAATGACAAGGAGCAACCTACAAAGTGAATGAGACAAATCCCTATACTTTGACAGTGGCCGATTCCAAGGAGCTGTTCCTCAGTCTATATTGAAAATTCTGAGATGCTGCTTTCAGTAAATTATTCATGTGCCATTAGTCGCTTTTCACAATTTAAAGTTATTTATGCTGACCAGCTTGCCTTTCATGTTGCCAATACACTTGCTCAAAAGAAAATATGTTACACTATACAGAAGCTGCAGTGTTTTATTCTCTGATGGCAAGATAGATTCACTGCTGCCCATAATACTTTTGAAAATGGAAGACGTTGGTTTCTGCTGAGAGAGACTCCTACACACCTATTGCTAGTAGGAGAAGGCAATTATTAACTGGAAAAAAAGTTATAAGGGGGAGATTACTATTTTTAGTAGGTGATAGTGTAAGTGTGTTTAGCTTAGGGATCACTTTTTTAATAATTAAAAGTTTATTTTCTATTTTCAGTGGACTCATTTAAAATTGTGATGTCAAACATAAAATAATTCAGCCTTCATCCCAACCACCAACATATACTCTCAGATTATGGCAGATCAGTACATTTATTGGCAATTTCCCTATACTGGCAGAATATTATGTTCAACAGCTGAGAGTTTAAAGCCCCCAAAAGAAACTGATTCCCAAGTTTAATCAGTATTATCCACGAGAGCCAGTGACTCTGGAATTCTTGACATCCCATTTAATGCGAGATGCATTTGTGCATTATATTTGGAAAGACATTCCCAGTGCCAGAGAGTTAAAATGATATCCAATTACATAAGTCTCAGAATAGCTATGGTATCTCTCTAAAGTTGAGCATAATGTTTCCATCAAGGTTCAGTGAACTACAAATTTTCAACTACACAATATATTTGAAAAAGATTCATGTTAAGAAACAGAACCTTTTGTGGCAAGATTTAAGATGAAAATAAAAAAAGTTTGTCTGTTCATCTGAAAACTCTTCTTTGTAGTCCTATATATATATATATATATATATATATGGAAACATGTAAAGTTTTACAAATAACAGATGAAGCAATTTAGAATTTAAAATAAACTCAATGCATTCAAAACCAGGTACAGTAATAACTTCAAAACAAGGAAGTCACTGGGTATTGCAGTACTTACATCTTCAGGTAATGATGTAAAGAACTTAGTGAATGTACTACCATTCCATTAACAGCACCTAAACCAAAATATTCTCATATAATCTTAACATTACCTGAATGCTGAAAATGCATGCAATCCTGATTGCACATCGTATGCCTTCCAAGCAAAGAGAAGCAACTTCTGTATCATCACAGTCTTGTAGACCCACACTGAATGCAGCTAGGAATGGTGTCCATGCCAACTGGAACAAAATAAAACCACACACCTTACATTAATTTTTAATATTCAATCTCAATAAGAGAAAACTTTATTCCAACAGAAAAAGAAGTATAAACATCACTGTATCTCGCTGAAAAATAATAAAAAACCAAAATGCTTAATCCGCAACAACTTCAGAGTGGACTTTCTACTAAAAAGAAATGGGAAGTAGAAATAGGGAAAAGGAGTAATAGTACAGTTATAAGGCAAGGAGAAGATGATTTTGAACCAACTGCAGTGTAATACGGTCACACAGTTTCTAGTGACAATGCAGTCTTGTCCAGAGCATTTTTTTAAATTGTAAATGTTTATCATCTTAGGCAGTGCCATGGGTTCTAAAAGAGAGAAGCTGTGTGTCAGTTATATATAGTGGATATTGTTTTTATATTATCTAGATAACAGTTCTCCATATGCATACATAATTCTTTGCATAATCAGAAACAAATATATATATTTGTATATAAAAGTTCTGACAACAGCCCCAAAACTTAATTGCACAGTGAAAGGTACAATTCAAATTTGCTGAAAGGTGCCATCCTGACACACACAATTTCAGAGAATTGCTCCCATATAAAGAGTCAGATTGACAAAAAGATACCTGTAGAGTTCTTGAAAAACTGCTCATGAAAATATTTATCCTAGTGCGTGCCTTACTTGTTAGGGGAAGTAAGATAGGCTGCTCCGCTCAGCATATTATTATAATGATTTTATATTAGTTAAACAGCATGGCTAACTACTATTTGGCCTTTTTCATACGATGAAAAAAACTCTAACAATACAATAATCATCCCTACCAAGGTGCAAGGGGTGGAGATAGAAGGAAAGACAGTTTTTCCCCTCTCCAGAAAAGGGGATCCAGACATTCCTTCAGTGACATAACTTTCAGTACTTCAGTTTGAATTTTGAACGGATAGAAGGGGAGCTTAGATTTCTATTACTTTAGCACGTCTTTTTCCTTTTCTTTTCACACTGAGATTTTCCATAATGTTTATGTGGACAGCAGTACTATAAGTCGTTAAGAGTGTTTCTAATGGGACACTGTTTGCATACTACAATTTTGCTTTTGGTGTGTTACACATACAGTTAGATTCACATTTTGGTAAATTTCTAGAATTTCTTTAAAATGTACCGTTTGCTCATTTAGGATGAAAATCATCCCTTATGAAGCACAAGCCCTATTTTGAGGATTTAAGTGGTTCACAGGCCTTGTGGTGGCACACAAGCTGAATTTCACCTGTACTTACTTTTATCATGATATATAACATCACTAGGTTATAAGTTTCACTACTTCATTAACAGGAAAAGATATGCATACAGATTTGAGAAAGTTTACAGAACCTAGATATGAGGAAAGTCAGGATGGAGTGAGCAAATATTTATTCTTTACTACTTTGTAATCACTACTTTGAGACGATAATTATGATTCCGATCGCTGGCTCTAAACATTAAGCTGTATTATTGGTTCTTACGATTAGTTAATGACTGGGAATGATAAAAGGATGAATGTCTTGGAACTGAGTCTAGTAATTAGAAACTCAAAGAGGAAAAGATGTATCCACTGGAAGCTCACATTACAGCTTTGGGTTTTTCTCCCTTTAAAAAGAGATGGGTTTTGCAGATATTCTTCTCTGCAAAGTAAAAAGAGGAAATTTTATAAAAATGGGAAGTTTGTTATTTTACATAAGCTATGTGACTGACTTCACATTCCTTAACTTTGATGGATCAATTTCATTTTTAAAAAAATCCTTACGAAACACACACATCCATAAATAATGTCTGTCACAGTTCAAGGCAACTGCACAGGTATTCCTACTCTGTGGTCCAGCAAGGGCACCGACTCAAGGCTTCTCAGCCTTCACCGCTCTTGGGCAGATACCCACATCTCCCTCCTGCCAGGCATTTATACAGGCTGCACTGTTCCCTGCCTACACTATGTTATTCCCAGTAAGCCAGACTCCCTAGACAAACCAGCACCTGTGCTTTGCTTTTGCATCAGAGGATATAAACAGTATAATTGCCCTCGGTTATAAGTTACCACACAGATCTTTCTAAGCAAGCCTATTTATATGCAAGGTGAAAGCATTACAGAGACTACCTATTAAAAACAGCAAAGGAACCTATATGCATCATGAAAAGCTTTATCAGAGGTCACCTCAACTCTAAGGTCTTCCAGGTGTCAGTCTTTCCAACCCTTCCTTAAGGATTTCCCCCCACAACCCTCACAGAAGGTTCTGCCTGTTTGTATGATCACACAAAAAAAAAAAAAGGCCCTCATTCAGTTTAAGCTCAGGGTATTTATCGGTTACCTTTGAAGAATCCAATTTGAACCAATTTATGCAAGCCTGTCCAGATGATGGTACTGCTCTGGATGTGTTAAAATCTGAGTGAATTTGCCTAATCACACTAACTGTCCTTTGTTCCTGGAGAGCTGTGAAAGCACATTTACTTATTAAGCTCCCCACTCCTGGAGCCCTTCCACCGCTATAGGGAAACGGTCTAGCAGGAGAGAAAGACTCTGCCAGTTCCCCACTGCTGGAGCCCTTCCTCACCACAACAAAAGGTCCTGGCAGTGAAGAGCTGCTGAACCCTTTCCCCACAGCCTCCCTGCTTCCGGAGCCTTTTACTGACACTTGTAGCCACACACCACAATGTGGACGTAATGAGCTTTTCACGCCAGCACATAGCTAAACATACATTACACACTGCCACCAGTGGGGTGTAGTGTAGATGAAGCCAGAGTGTGCAACTCCCTACCCATTCTGAAGTCTCACTGTCTCTGTCCTGACTCATGTAACAACACTGCTGGGCCTGCACATGACTTCTGGCTTCATACCATTTTCTCCTTTCCCAGGTTTGTCTTCCTGATGTTACCCGGCCCAGTGGAGGGATCAGGAACTGATAGTGGGGGAGCTGGGATGCATGAGGCATTCAGGCTGCAATGCAGAGGGAATTGCAGTGAGGAGGGACTTTCACCTCACAAATATCTCACCCTGCCCTGTCTTTAGTGGCTAGAAACCTCTTCAACACACCACCCAAGGCAACACAAAATCCACAGAAAGGTAGCCAGTTCCCAGATGTTTCAGGTTTTAATTTAATAATACAACTCTTTGAGCTAAACCAATAATAAATTTCACACCCTATCAAAGCATCAGATTGTGTGTGGTGGTGAAGTGATGTGGATAACTGCTTGCTGAAGGCTGGAACAAAACCACCAGTTTCTTTTGTTGGTGTGACCGAGAGTGACATTTGAACCCGTCTCCAGATGTGAAAAGCCAAATACACTAACCCATTGTGTCAGCTACCATGTACATTTTTAATATGAACTTGTGCTATCAGAATGTGTTAAGTCTTCATTTTCATCAAAGTACTAAGCTCCTTTACTGTTCTGTGGATTCATACAATCAGACATTGGCTGCTCCGTAACAATTTCTGTTGTGGACCTCTTATGCTGGTTCTTTTGCATTGCATCTGCTTTTAAGACCTGCATAATGCTTCACAGTTTCCCTTTTCTGACATTTATGGTATTTTGCTTCTCAGACTGGACACACTTTCCACGAATATCGTGATGTTCCACCACATCTTCCATATATTTCTGTTCTATTTTTGCTGTCGGTCTTCTGTCAGAGTTTCCTCAGGTTTTCATTTTGTGTTTCTTCTTGAGCTTTATAGGTTGAAATTTTTGTATTATCACAAGCATCCCTGTGTTCCCATTTATATTCTGTGGAGATGCGCAGCCTTCCCAGTGAAACATCATCTGTTTTATCAGTGTTTTTACATACAGTCTTCTGATCAGTATGTCGTCTGCCTCATCTTCCAGGGCATATGAGGACATTTACTTGGTACCCATCACTGTTACTGACAACCCTGATGCAACATGAAACTGCTCAAAATGACCTGTTCATTTTAGCCATGTCTTCTCAGCAAAATTAAGACTTTCTAGAAGGGTTAGTGGAAATACTGACTCCATTTCCCTCAAAAATGAACTTTTCTTTGCAGGCTCCTTGTTTTCATCCTGTTTTTCTGCTGTTTCTGTGCCATTAAGTTACCTTATTTTTCTCCCTCCATGCCTGTGGCTTCCTTCCTCTTCCAATGGGAGCTGGGCCTTTTTGCTGTAGCTCTTTTGTGGCCTGCAGTGCAGTTGCTCTGCAGAGTCTCCTCTTCATGGAGTTCATATTTTTCTGTCCTGTCTTTTTGTCTCTCTCCTCTTTGGGTTGGGACTTTTCCTGCCCTCACAGCCCTACAAGAGCCACAACTCTCTCCTCTTTCTATTCTATAGTGCAGCCTTGACAACATAGATTGTTCTGGATGTTGCTCCAGTGGTTCGAGATGAGGAAAACAACCCCTCCTTGCTCTGAGTAACTTCACATACTCTTTCTTCCTTTCTCCTTGTTCCGACACTATGTTTCTTGAAGTGCAGGCAGAAGCAAAGAGCACAGAGGTATATATGGTTGCATCAAGGGCAAGGGTTTTATTACTAATAGCGTGGAAGTGGTTGAATAATTAGCATTTATTCCAGGTGTAATGAGACCTATAGTATTAACTCGAAGTACTTCCTACTTCAGCAGGAGTTTGAACTGATAATCCCACTCCAGGTTGGTTCAGGAGAAACCCACCTTCTCAGGGAGTACTCTTCTCTGTTACCAAAGACATCTGGTGATCTGCTCTGCATTTGACAGTGTTACTATGATAGACAGAGACACATTTGAATATATATTCTTAATCTGGGAGCTGTTAATCTGAAAATCAGTTTTTAAGTGGGGCAAATAGAAGATTGCTTAGATCTACACCAACGTAAGGACAAGCAATTCAGAACCACACATTAGCAAAGATGCATCTTAAACACTAACCTACTCCCCCCATTGCAAACACTAAAAAGCAAGGAAATATTTTAAGTTATGGCACACCTCTTCACTATACCCAAGAGCCCACAAATTCACAATTCCACTAAAAGCAACAGACTATTTTGTCAGAATGAACTTCCTTTGGCCAACACACTACATACAACAAATTCAATCTCCCTCAGAATGAAGAGGAATTCTTAACCAGAGAGCTGGGCTAACAGTTACTGATTCTCATTTGTCATTGCATTGTCATTTCCCTCCTATGCAAATCCCTTCACTCTATTGCCTTCTCTCAACAAATATTTACAGTTTCTCATCCATTCCTCATCCTTTACCCTGCACACTCTCCTCAATTTCTCTTCTACCTTTTCCCTTCCTTGTTTGAGGATGTCCCCCCTGCCACCTTTTTGAGCAATTCCTTTTTAAAGTAAAAAACACTTACTTTAAAAATACACCCCTTTTCTTCAGCTTTAGCTGTAGTAGATAAAGGGCTTCAGTTCCTCCTTTGAAATTAGGCCTTACTGGTGGGCAAAATAATGAGAGGATGAACTATTTCACCCATCACTCCCTTTTGAGGGTCCTTAAAAGAAAAGAAATGTTAAGGGGGAAACTGTCTGTAGAGGCTGTCTGACATTTGATGGCTGGGAAGCAGGTGGACTGGAAAAAGTACGCTTCACTGTCATGGCTGCCACCCCAAGAGTCTCCTGGGACCACAGGATTCAATGCAAGATCACTGGGCCTTTATTGTCCTCATCCTGAAAGATGTTCTGACTAAATCAGGTCAAAGACCAGTCGACACTGCCACCTCCACTGGCTTTGGCTAAATCCCAAAGAGATTTTGGTTCCTGCTGTCACCCCTACCCCCCATCATGTATCCTTTTCCTTCTCTTTCCTACACCTCTCCTTTTGCCTTCTGTGTCTGACTTAGCCAGCCATGACTGTATATTTTGCAATACTCCAGTAAGACCAAAAAGGCAGCTAAAAACAATGCCCTACACAGCGCAATGCTAGTACAAGTTTGCCAGCTCTCAGAGTGACTACTAAGACTGTGTGCCATGCCTGTGTTTTTCTAGCAGCGAGGCTGAAAAAAAATTAGCATCAAAGACAGAAACTGCGTTTTCTATCTTTGCTGTTCTTTTCTCTCCCTAGTTGTGTCTGTGTCTTGATTTGTCTTCTAGGAAACAGAATCAAATTTTAAGAGCAGCAACAAGAGCTCTGGCCCATCTCAACTAACTTCTTCTCTTTTTCCCAGAAAGGACAATTACCACCATATTTAAAACCATCTAAGAGACTGTCAAACAGGGTTGTGTTTTTCCCCCTCCTAAAACCTTTATCCAGCTAAAGGGAAAAGAGACAAGGGATGCTGTTAAAACAAAAGCTTTATTTAATACTTTACATTTCTAATCCTTTAACTGCCTTTCCTTTAGTTTTTATATCTTTATGAAAAAGTTGAAATGATTTTTAATGGTGCGCACCATGGTATAAAGCAGACCGAGGGCTCTGTATTCAGAACCCTGAACCTTGTTTAAAATTATTGTTGTACAGTAACAGACCCTTGTTAATATCTTTGACTCTCTGGGCCCATTTATTCCATCAAAATTAATATAACAGAACACACAAGAATGGAAAAGGAGGGGGCGCAGAGAGAAAGGAGGAGAAAGGGAGAGGACAGGTAGGAAGCTTTTAAAATAGATATTAAAAAGTTACTTATGCAAATGAAGACTAATCGTTCCTAAGCAGCATGACGTTGACAGGCACAACATCTTTCAGTAAAAGAAACTAAATGGTGCTTCTTATTAGTTTGGTAATATCAACCTGGGCTCTATTTCTAAAACTGTGGCGTTTAGCCCAGGATAAGGTTAAGGTTATAAACTCATGCAGGTAGCACCCCCTCAAGTTATTTAAACACTTCTACACTTCCAGGATAGATTAAGTAATGTGAATTTTTTTTTTTTTTTTTAACAATTCTGATTGTTTCACTTTAATTCTTTTACAAAGTCCAATAAGATTTAGATTACTCTTCTAGAAGTTTTGAAAGACCAAACATTACCACTGAAATAATGTGGAATCCCACAGTATTTCTAACAATGCCTTGCAATCACAGTATTCCAAGTTAACATTATATACCCATCTAGAATTTCAATATAGAACATGAGAATCTCACCTTGAACATTGGTCTCACATGCTCCAAATGGGTTGCACTAGTAAAAGGTGCCTGAACATGGCTCACTGCTTCCATGAGGGCTTTTGCTGTTTTAGCCATCTGTTCCATTTCCAAGTTATATAGAAGTCGTCTCTGCTTTTCGCTAGCAACATCTATAAACACATTTTTCCTTTTACATTTGTGTTTCAGTCAAAGCTTTCTCACAGAAAGTAGTAAAATAGTAATTTTGTTACATTAATCATTTAAATGCTGTATTCTGATATATTTAGAAACTAATGACATCTAAAAGTTAATGCAAATTTATCTTGTTTGTTTACACTGTAATATAAAATCAAATTACATCAATATACTAATAACAAAAGTATGTGAGTAGTGAAATGTTTGTTTTTTAAATGGTAGTTTACCTTAATTTTAGTCTATATAGAAATAATCTATATAATAAATCAAAGAAATCTTGTGACTGAACTGAAGCAATCTATTTTAAGAAGAAATACTAAGCAAGGTATATGGGCTGGATTAATTTCACAAAGTGGACAGAGATTTTATATCAAACTATCACCACAGCGAGGAAGGATTAAGTGTGGAAAGATAAATATTTCTCTCTTTCTCAAATGTATGTGGCAAAGTGCCTTAACACCTTTTCATGCTGGTATTGAAGCCTCTATCTCAAAGTGAGGGACAACCCAGAGAGAGTACAATAAAAAGAAATAAACACTTAAATTTTCAGGGAACATTTAATTCAGAGTTTAACGGCTTTAATGTAAAATAAACTGCTAGACAGAAACAAGCTGAAGAGCAGGGGAAAAAAAAGAGGTAGCTACAGATGGAGACTTGTGACGTTGTAAAGGAGTTATGAGCAGAGTGTTCTTGGGGGCTAGTTTTAGAATAATTCATTAACTATATACAGAAAAAATTTGGGTAGCTTTATAAAAACAAAGAAGTGAGGTTTTTACCCACGAAAGCTTATGCCCAAATAAATCTGTTAGTCTTTAAGGTGCCACCAGACTCCTTGTTGTTTTTATAAAAACAGGATCTTCACATTTGCAGACAATATGAAAACTGAGTGCACACAGTGAGGAACCATCAGATTCAAGAACATTTGGATCATTAAAATGATGGTCCAGAAGACAAACAGTTAAATGTTTTTTAAAATTATTTAAGGAAGGAACCAATTTAGGGAATGTGTGCTAAATGAGCAATCTTAAACCACAATGAAAACAAGATTTTGAGGCGTTATTGTGGGGAAAACTCCATTACTGCATTAAAACAAGATATTGCTATAGATAATGAACAGGATACAAAACAAAAAGTGATACTGTTACTTTATTATAAAGATCTCATGTGGAATACTGTATACAGTATTCATCACTGTACAACAGCAAAAACTATGCTGCCAAGAAAGTGCTGTGTAGAGCAACAAAGATGACACCTGGACTAAACAATATCAATTCTGAGGCAAGATAAAGTCAGAATAAACCCAGTTTAATTTAACAGGTAAACTTCAAGGGAGCATAACAGACTTTCAAAATTAAAGGGACTGGCAGAAGGTAATAAATATAGTCATTCAATTACTGCAGAAGATGACATAACTGAAGCCAAAAAGAAGATGACCTGAAGAAGAGCTCTGTGTAGTTCTAAAGCTTTTCTCTCTCACCAACAGAAATTGGTCCAATAAAAGATATTATCTCATCCACGTTGTCTCGACAAAAAGAAAGGAATTGATGGGTATGGGCAGAGTAAGAAAGCGAGAATAAAATTAAATTTAAAGAGGGCAGGAATTTTGTGAGCCAGAGTTCTTAAATATTAAGTTCACAGAAAGAATGATTTAGTACTACATGTAAGAACCTGTAAAATTATTTATCATAGGTTCACTTTTTATATGATGCAAAAGAAAGGGGGGGGGGGAAAAGAGAGAGAGAGAAAGCAAATTTAACCCCATTTCAGATTTCCTAGTGCATCCTTTCCTGTGTGTTTCTCTTAATATGTATGTTTTTCAGGGTAGGTACTCGTGTATAGTATGACACTGAGATTACTATTGGTGCTAAACAAATAACTATGCATAGCGACATTAAACAAGAGGTTGTTAGTTTAGTACACCACATTCCTAACGCTAGGAGACCACATTATGAAATAAAAGAGCCAACATTTATTCTGTGATGACTGACACACTGCAGGTACTTACTTTGTTTACTGGATTTTGTGGGTATTACTAGTTCTTTTGTTTCCTTCATAGATATCTTCTTCCCTGCTATTTCATTATAGATAGCTGACAGATACTCCTCAGGAAGGTCTTTACTGTCATTGATACCTCTGTTCATCTTAATATACTGCTCCTTGGTCATTTTGTTCTTTACCTGGAAACCAAAAAGAAGCAAATAGTATGAATGAGAGAGCAAAGGGGAAGATTTTTAAATGGATTTAGGCACCTAAACAGGCAGATAGGTGCCTAAGCCCACCAGATAATCACCACTGACATTTTCAAAGCCACATCTCAGGTGTTACCTAATCCCCCAAAGTGGCTAAGTTTCAGCCAGTCAGCATTTCAAAACAGTCTAAGTGCTGCTGCCACCCCACAGACGGTAACAAGGTGCTAGGACGGTTAGCTCAAGCCAAAGCCCTGGAGGCTCCAAAGCAGAATTTTCAAACTAGGCAGGGGAATGCTTATCTTGCCAATAGGGCCTGATTAAGGTGACCAGATGTCCCGTTTTTAAAGGGTCAGTCCCAAATTTAAGCTCTTCTGCAAGTGTCCCAGGTTTCTTTTTAAAAACGGGCAAATTGTCCTGTATTTTCTCTCTCTCCTCCCCATCAGTACTGGTGGGTCCTGCTGCTGGCCCGATCCCTGATCACTAGCTGCCTGCCCACCAGCGGGGTGGGGTGTGCAAGGCTGGTGGCAGGGCCGGACGCTCCCCTCGCTGGTCTGTCAGTGCAGCACTCACTGCGTGCTGGCTCTCGGCCAGCAGGGCCCCACCCCATCCCATTTCCGGCCAGCACTGGCTGTGCGCTGTGGTGGCTGTTGAATGCGGGCAGGCACTAGGTGGCAGCCAGTTACGTGCCTCCTCTGCTGCCCACCCATCAGCCCTTTATGTGCTCCCCCTCTCGCTGTCCTCTCCTTGCTTTGTCCCTTCACACATCCCAGCCCTACTGCTCCTCCATATCCTCCCCGGCAGGGTGTGTTCCGCTCCCAGTGCAGTGCAGAGAACCAGTCCCTGGTTGGAGTGCTCAGCTCACCAACAGCCTCGCCGGAAGGCTCCTTCCTTCCCCCACTGCTGCTGGCTGGGCCGGCGCCCCAGGAAAGCCCAAGAACCTCCAGCCCAGGGCGCTGGCTAGGAGGAGCCAAGCCCTGCACAGCACTGTCACGGGGAAGCCTCTCTGCCCCTCAGGTAAGCTCTGGAGTGGCGGGTGGAAGTGATTTCCAGCCTGTTCGCACCCCGACCCTGTAAGCTCCACAGCAGCGACCTGGGCAGGGGCTTAGCACCCTCTTCACCCGCCCCTCCCCTGCCTGGACATGCCCCTAAGGACCGCAGGGCTGCTCCATCCCCTAGGCATCCTCCCACACTGACCCACCTCTCTGGCCGGTTAGCTGAAGCCCCTGCAGTCAGGTTCCCTTGGCCCTAGTGCACAATCCATCCTTAAGGCTTAACCCTTCCTGCTCGTGCTGTAGCAGGGGGACAGGAGGTGGCTGGATTATGTCAGTGACCAGACTGGAGGTGTTAGCTGCCTTTCAACACTGTGTGGGCAGGAAGGGACAAGGTGCTTCCAGCCACAGGGGAGTGGGGGGTGCGGAAAAGATGAATTCTGCCAAGACACTGGCCAGGTCATTTCTCCCCCCTGCCCCTCCTCCCCTGGAAGCAGCTCCCGTCCCTTTCCTCCCGCACAGTGCTGAACGGCTGCTGCTGGCCACATTCTGGTGTGAACCCTGGCAGAAATCTGGGGAGGGCAGACATGTGACCCTGAGTGTCCCCCCCCCCCACCCTCCTGTGTTGTCTCAGGAAGACGCGGCACCAGGTATAGGAGAGGCAGGTCTGTCCTGGGGGTCCAGCCAGGCATAGAGGGCGGAGAGGGCTGGGAAGGGAAGGTCAAGTCAGTCGGTCGCGCCCCCGCGTGCCCCCCCCCGCCCGTTTGAGAGAGGTATAGGTGTGTGTGTGTGTGTGTTTGTTTGTGATCTCTTCCCGAGTGTGTTGGGGGTAGGGATGTGTGTGTCACCTCTCCCCATATGAACCCTAACGCCTTAAGATAAGAAGGTAAATAAAAAGAATCCAACTACACAGTATTTCTTTCTAACAGGGGCTCAGTCAACTTGATGTTAATTTGAACACTGGTACTGCATAGTTCTGATTGCCATTGAACTTGCTTGAATACGAGTAATTTTACCAGGTGTCCTATATTCAGCATAGGGAACTATGGTCACCCTAGGCCTGACCCTTTATAAAACCTTTAGGTGTATACTGAGCATGTCTAAGACCTGATACCCATCAGACTTCACAGCAAAGAGCCAGATGCAGGCTACTGACAGGCAGAGGACACAGCACATGCACAAAAGACAGGAAAATGTAGGATGAGCATGAGCAGGACAGAGAGAGACTTTCAGCTGCTGGTGGACTACCTAAGCAGCTGACTTGCAATAGGTGCCTAGTTCCAGAAGAGGGTTCACCACTGGTGGATCCCAAGCAGAGAGAGGTGCTTATCTCTGGGCCATCAGGCAGGTACACCAGGCTAGCCACTGAGGGTATGCCTACACTGCAATTAAAAACACACAGCTGGCCTGTGCCAGCTAATTCTGGCTTGCAGGTCCCAGGCTTAGGGGCTGTTTAACTGAAGTGTAGATGCTGGGCTAAAGGTGGAACTCGGGCTCTGGGACCCTCCCACCTTGCAGGGTCTTAGAGCCCAAACTCCAGCCTGAGCCCAAATGTGTACACTGCAGTTAAACAGCCCAAGTCAGCTGGCCCAGGTCAGCTGCGGGTGTCTAACTGCAGTATAGATATATCCTTTAGGCCAGTGGTTTTAAACCTTTTTTCATTGGCAGACTCCTAAAAAATTTCAAATGGTGTGGACCCCTTTGGAAATTTTAGACATAGGCTGCAGCCCCCCAAGAGTCTGCGGGCCACAGGCTGAAAAGTACTGCTTTTGGCACCTTAGGATCCTTTCCTTTCCCCACCCCATTCCCTGCATTTCATTCCTGGATAGCTTAGGCAGCTCCCCACACAGCTGGCTGGCTTCTGGAAATCCCTTTCTTAAGCAATTAACTATCCCTAGGCACTTTACAGGGAACCTATTCAGCCTGGAGCCACCTAACTCAAAGCTGAAAATACCATCACATAGGGGGCTGCCCAGGGGCTAGACATTGCTTCACTCAGCTGAGCAGCAAAGCCTAAATCTGTTTAAAAATCTGGCCTAAAGTTCATAGAAATCATGCTAGGATTCATGAACTCTAATGAAATCTACCCATTTTTCCAACAAACTGCTAACTTTTCCCATTTGTTGGTGAATTGAAGAAAGTTTGTCCTCTCAAAAAAGCAATTCTCAAAACTGGTACACAGGCAAGTGCAGACTCTTCCTTATTCATGCTCTGTTAATGTACCATAATCCTGTTTTATCCTGAAACATCCTTGTGGTAACAATTCTATTCTTAGTCATCTCTTGGATATACAGCATGTGTTGAAACTAGAGAAAATTTACTGAAGAATCCCACCAGTTCAGATGAACCAGTGTTACCACCAGTAGGAGCCCTACAGCAGATAAGACTCCCACAGCTGGACCTGTTTTACCACCAATTTAGTTAAGCCTGTTTAAAGCAAGCATAATTGAAACAATGGTCAAATGGGTCCTGCAGCAGGAGTCTACACTAAGACTCCAACAGGGCTAAACATTATTTCATCTGAACCAAAGGACTTTTTTTTTAAACATTTCCCCAGCGTAGACAAGACTCCCCTCTCAGTTATATGAAATGGTGAAATTATGTGAGCATTACATGATACTGATGAACATATGCTAGAGATTAAGCCAAAATCCAAATTAGTCAATAAGCATAAAAACAAAACTATTTTGGCACACAAGCTAAACAATCTAACCTACGTTTATTACTTTTTCAAGGTTAAATCAGAGGTGGTACCAAATACTCTAATAATTTCAAATATGGTGAGTACTGCATTTATAAAGGAGCTGCACTGACTGGGATCTTTAAGCATAATTTTCCCAAATGGTGAAGTTACACGAATCTCTTTCAGTTTTCCAACTGGATGGAACCAGGGCAGATTTATGATAAAACAGTAGTTAGTATCTGCAAGAATTTGATTGTAAAACTAGTCACTAAGGAGAGTAGTACAATATAAAAACCAGTGGATATAACTCAATTCAATTAAAGCTAAGAAAGAAAGTGACATCTCACTGCAGGAATGGCCTAACTGACTTGAACTGAAAACTTCAGAAGCAAAAGAAACAAAGATTGTGTGTGTTATTTATTAATGTTAGACTTCAGGTAGTACATTAGTATAGAGTAGAGCACAAAAATATTACAAATACATTGCCGTAAAAGTTGAATGTTCTTATGTTAGAAATTCTGTGACATGCACCTAGTCATTTAAAGTACAAGAAATGTTGTTTACAAGAAACCTGATATATGAGAAAGTTCTTTATAGCAACATACCTGTGGGCTATGAAGATCTGTCGTTAACATGATAATTGAGTAAGCTAAGACATATGCAGTGTCTGCACTAGCAAAAAGGGTTTGCCTGAAAAAACAACGAAGCCACATATTACTAATTCTTACTCATTACTCAGTTTCACAAAAACATTAAAAGAAGAAAGTACTGCTTACCCTTGGTTGCATTCTAAATATCTAGCAGCAAATTTCTCCATTAGCCGATCAATTTTCTGAGCCTCTCCTGGAAGACGGAATCCCTCTAAAAACATGCGCAGAGCTGATACGAAATCCTTTCCTGAAAAGTCATGTTGGTCCACATATGCATACATGACTTCTTTGTTAAATTTATCATTGTCTCCCAGGAACTCTCCAACCTGAGTCTAAAATAAGAATGATGAGAAAGGTGGAATACCAAAACAACATGCTGCATTTATGTACAGTACGCAAACTGCCACAGCGTATTTAAAATCTCCTATTTATAGCATTAGGAATCTTTTCCTGCACCTAACAGGTAATGTCAATGTTTAAAATACCGTTATTTTTCCTGGCTTCTGATTGACTAAGTCAACCCAGCACAACGATCTGCACAGATACTAATTAGATCACATCCAATGAAAGCCCTTCATATTTAACGCTGCAGAACTTCCGAAGACAGGGTAGGAAAAGATGGGCTAGCAGCAGATGAGAACTGGAAAGAGTGGCACACTGCACTACATTCCTTCACAATAAATATTTTGTTCACGTGCAAACAAAAGCAGTTCTTTAAAAAAAATATTTGTAATGTTTCTCCACCGGTCTGTAAATAGCATATTTTTATTTTAGCCACACACACCAGAACAGTGTCCCCCTGGTGCGTGCTCTTCTGTCTACCTTTTTTCTCCTCGCCATTCTGTTCATTCACCATTTTGCTCCACTCCATGTGTTACATGCATGCATGCAAAAGATAGCAACAGCTTATCAAAAACCCCCTTGTGACATGTCAGCTGCACTGGCCATTTCCTGTTCTTCCCCACCCAGTCTCTTTTGGGGAGGGTGTAGTAAGTGGGCATGCAATGCCCTCTTATCCCGGATCCAAGGTCCAGTAGGCCACACAAGATCCAAAGTGAGGATTCCTTCTTCCCTTTACTCCTTTGTATAGGCATAGTACACTCTAGAGCATTCTAACCCTATGCGATTTATAATTAGTGTAAACAGTTAGCAACGTA